ACCAAGCCGCGCTCTTAACTGTCGCCATATCCAAAAAAAAAAAAACTCATTTTGTTTGATGACAACGTTATTTCACGTCATACAAACTTTTGAAAATTCCTACGTCACCTCACATGGTGAAAATTACGATCTTCTTGGAATTTCTGGTTACTCTTTTGCAGTTTCAATGGCAACTCCATTGGTGGCCACACCCATAAATTTGTCGCTCTCCCTTCCTAACCACCATCATTCCAAATCCTTTCCTTTTACTTGTTTCACTTCTAAACCAAACCTCCACAGGATCCCTAGAATTCCAACACCTGTTGCTTTCAGTGGAAACCCACACTTATACAAGCATGATCATAATCACCCCGGTGCTCGTGCTACCCATAAGTCATTGCTATCCATCAGAGTTCTTAGGCCCAACTCCAACTTCTTGCAAATGGGTCGTCAAGAAACTAGCTCTAACAGGTCAAATCCTCTGCTTCAGACAGTAGCAACATTTCCACCTCTACTATCTCTCATAAAGTTAGTAAATTTCCTTTTTTTTTAAATTATTATTATTAAAAAATAAAACTTTATCAAATGTTTCTTGACATTTCTTGAAGGGTTATTCTTGTTTTATAATTTATATAGGTATTTGGGGTATTGCACTTGGTTGTTTCGCTTGGAATAGTTCTGGCAATGGATAAGTTCTTAAAGAAAGCTTTTGTGGCTGCTGCTATAGGGTTTCCCAGCGCATTATTTGGAATGTTTTGTATATTTTCTGTTTTGGTCATACTTGATACTACTGTCCGTGCTGCTGCAACAAGCTTGATGAACTTTTTTCAGCTAGCCCTGATGTTCATTCAGAGATGGCTTCCACCGTTTTATGTTCCGGCTTTGGTGGTTCTGCCATTCTGTTAGAGACATTCCTGCTTCTTCAGGCCTCAAGATATGCTTCATCATAGGTATTATACTACCATAAGCTTTAATGAAGAATTTTTTTTTGTTAAGGGTGATATTTTCTGAGTTGTTGATTCTTTTTGGATTCACTAGTTTCATTTTACTTTATTCGAATTGCATCAATTCATTTACATGGCTTCTCAACGAGCATGGACAATTACTGTTCTCTTTCGAGAATCCGAGATACTACGAACAAAAATGCCTTCAAAATCAGAAGACCTCGTTGCTTCCAAATGTAAGCTAGAAGATTTATGACAATTGGAACCTTCATTTTAAGGCTATTTGTTTCTTTGTTTTGAGTAGCTAGTAATGTGTTTCGTAGTGGACTGGAAAGTTGAATTTTAAATTTGTACTTTTGGGATGAAAAAAGGTGAATTATTTGCTAGCTGGAACCTTCCTCTGAACTTTTATCTAGAGTAGAGAGGTTTGCCGTGTGTCAGTGTCTGGTAGAAGTTTTCACTTTTTGTTGTTGTAAGTCTAGGGTGTACATACAAGTGTCTCTGTCTGATTGAAATGTTAGCATCTATCCAATATTGTACTTTTACTCTGAAATGAATCACTATTTCACCAGGAGAAAACTGGTGATGTTTTCTGTGTTTATCCTAAACTCACCGTAGTCTGTAACTAACAATAATGGCTCACTTCTGTGTTAATTTCTCACATGTTTTATTTCAGTCTACTTACTCACTTGCTGTAAACTATGCAAAAGATAAATAAACAAAGAAACTTGTGTACATCATTTGCCTTTTTCTGAGTTAGAACATCAGTTATTCATGCATGCCTACTGTTAAATCTTTTAATCCATGGTTTGCTGTTTGTTATTAAATTCTGTCACAACATCTTAATCTTTAATATAGTAGCAATTAAGTGCTTAAATCTTCTGCAGCGGGAGGCTGGTTAGCTTCACTTTGTGTAGCTGGTTTTACAGCTATTGCCGTGAGAAAAATTGTGAAGACAGAAATGACGGATGCCGAGCCTATGGCAAAACCTTCCCCCTTTTGTCCTATAGAATTTTGGACTTGGGGTGGTATCTTTCTTGTATCATTTGTTAGTTCAATATTTTATACTACAGCTTTGGGTACAAGTGCTCGAACATGTCTCCCCTTCCTACTTGCCTCCACCGTCCTAGGATACATGGTTGGTTCTGGCTAAACTTTCAGTTTCGTCTTCAGAGCAAATTCATATGAACAAAGTTTTTCCTGATAACAACAATAACAAACTTTTACACTCGCTTTCCATATCTACATTTTTGTGATTTGAATATTTTTATTTCTCTTTGAAAGTTTTACCAATTTTCATTCTTCTGATGTTCAGGTTGCCATCTGATGTGAAAAATGTTTTTTATCCAATTATTTGCTGTGCACTCCCAGCAGATCTGGCAGCATTGGCCTTTGGGTACTTTTCCCGAGCAGGAGTTATGCAATCTTAGGTAATGTTGAAAAGTTAAACTTCCTTATTCTTTGGTTAAAGGAAAACCAATATGGACATGTTACATATGCATCCTGTCCTCGAATATGCAATTCTTGAAGATTTTCCAGTATTAAGGTTTCAGCTTTATGTGCACGTGATTGTTATTCTATGTTGATATGATAATGTTGCTCTTGATTCCTGCAGGATATTACCTTAACAAAGGTGTCCTCCAATCCCGTAGCTGGTGATATTCTCATGGGATTTTTGGGTTCTGTTATTCTTTCTTGTGCTTTTTCAATGTTCAAACACAGAAAGTTAACTACCTGCCCTTCACGTCCAGCAAAATGAGAATTTCATAATCTGCCTTTCACATTTTCAATGATCAAAAGGCCAACCATAAGTTTTACCCCAAGGGTCAACTATTCTGTTATAAAATATTCATCTTAATGGCAGATCTTAGCACCGGATTTGTCATCAGGTTTTGCCCTAATTAATGAAACGCTATTGTACAAACTAATAACTGTTGCTCTTGATTTTTACAGCTTGTTAAGATACATGCAGCTTAGATTTTCATATCTATCATTGTCTCAAGTTTGTTTTCTTTCTATTCAACTGCTCTTGTCGGACGTCTTGTTGGGTTCGAACCAAGTCTGACTGTTTCAATTCTACCAAGATGTATAACCGTGGCATTAGCTCTCAGCATTGTTTCCTTTTCTGAGGGTAAGATAACTTACCATACTCTGCCGAAGGTGGCAGGCAACTAAATCTTCTGATTCATATATGACATATTACTCAGAGCACATAAATGGAGATGAATCGTGTTTCATTTGTTAACTGTGTAGATTATCGTATTAATTTCAGTGGATATGGTACCTTGTCTATATTGCTTGTAGGTGCCAATTCATCTCTCACAGCTGCTGCGGTTGTAGCGACTGGTCTGATCGGTGCAAATTTTGTGCAAGTAACGCTTGACAAATTACGCTTTCGTGACCATATCGCTAGAGGAATAGCGACTGCATCTAGGTATGTACCTCAACAGTAAATAAAACCAGTGGGAGCTCACCATTATTACGACAATTGAATGTACTTCTTGTCTCTCGAAGTTGTCTTTTTTCGTACTCATCATCTATGCTCTTGATTATGCATCTATTCTCAAAAGTTGATCTATACTTGTTTTGTTCCAGTGCCCATGGATTGGGAACAGCTGCATTGTCAGCCAAGGAGCCTGAAGCCCTTCCCTTTAGTGACGTTGCCTATGGTCTCACAGGTATATTTGGCTCAATGTTTTGCTCAGTCCCTGTAATCAGGCAAAGCCTGCTCGCTTTGGTTGGCTGACAATATGATAAGTTGTAACAGTGCTGCACATTTGCTTGTTGATTACCACTCTAAAGCTGTCCCACGAGATTGAATTATTGTACAGCCACAAAGCCTTCTTTCATTGATCAGCACAACTCTAAAAAATGATATCATGTTGCATTTTTTTTTTTTTTGGATAAAATGATGTTGCAAATATTTGATCATATGATTGTTGTGTGTTTCTAATATGGATTTAATGAAATGCTCTCGTTTTGCTTCCCTCGAAACGTCAATTAAAAGTGGCAACAAATTAAAAAAGAGATGAGTTTGGTTCAAGCAACAATGATTACGAATCCTTGGAACTTACAGCCATATCTTTGTTCCGACTACCATATAAGCCCCATACAATGAATCATTATATGTTTTTCTTGTAGAAATAATCTGGAAATCTCATAATTCAATTCACATATTTTCTAATTTCCCTTTTTTTCTCCCAAATCTCTTCCAAACTTAAAAATATAACTTTGTGGGAAATAAATGTTTTCCTTTTTTAATTTTCCCATATACTCCTACACATGACTTACAAGGATGTTATATATTAGTACAGAACATTCAAGCTTAGGTACACCAGCGGCAATGGATTGAAATACATACAAATTTTGAGGAAAATGAAAATTATAAACGTCATGAATGCACTAACAAGTAACAAGATCATGACACCATGGTACACATGGCGCAAATTTCTGTGCTAGTGGGAACATCTGAACATCCTAGTTCCTTACTGCTGTGAACATCTAAGCGTCCTTCGAGATAAACGAAACTCTTGCTAAAGGTAGACTTGAGATTTGAGTTAACTCGTGCAATAAATAGAAAACGAATATTTTATCAATTATTTAGCCAAAGAGAGAAAAGATAGCAAGTACAGTTACACTGACACTGCTTTTGGTGCTAACTGCTCAGACAGACAGAAACCATTATCCATACAAGTGGGAACTTCCTTTGCAGATAAACAAATTACTATGTTCTTGTTCTTAGATTTTTCAGCACAGAAACTTGCCTAGAACTACTTCCTGTTAGATCTTACCAAGCTTGTAAGTTCGTTTCAACCCTATACCTTAAATAGTTTATGGGCTTTCAGAGCTTAATATCTTTTTTTTTTAAGGGTTCTTATTTCATGTTTTTCAGTTGTTAATTAAAAAGTTTGTATTTTTTTTATCTAAATGTGATGCCTTTTTGCCTTAATATTTAGGCTGAGAAATGGGTTTATGCTATATGTTGTTTATTGTTTCTTTCTTCCTAAGGTTACTCTGATGTTATTATTCAAATGGGTTTTTCTAATTAAACGGTAATAATTCATGGTTTCAGGGTTTTGGATGGTTTCATCTTAATGTGGTTTGATATTCACATTTTATTTGTCTGTTTTGAGATGAGGTTTGTATGGAATCTTCTTCATTAGTTATCTAAAACTTGTTTCATAGTTTTTACCTTGATGGGTTTGCTAAACTCTGCCCCGAAGTAGTCATTTACAGAATTTGAGATAGCTTTATTCTGATTCAGTGTGCTTTTGTTTTTGATTCTTCAGTTTCTTGGAGTTTGGATTGAATTTCTCACCTTTTTTTCATCTCTTTATGTATATTTTCTGTATTGCAATCTGTTTAGTAGAGCCTGCAATCTAGTTTTCTTCCGCATTTCTTGATACCTTTAGTACTTTTCACTGTCTTTTCAGAAGGTGTATATGTTTATGCAAGCAAGTTTTTCTCAGTTTCTGTTCTCTAGCAAAGAGTTGAGGTCACTACATGGCATTGCTAGGGTGATATTTTTATTGTGCGCCTGCGCATCCAGCATCTTCTATGAAGAAGAAAGTAGGGAACTGATAATGGAACATAGAAGGATACATAAGACTTAAGACAGGCTTGGATTTATCGCATCTTGATGCTCGAAAACCATTTAGTATAATTATAGAAAATTTTCATGTGCCAATTGGAATTTTGTTTTTGTTGATGTTGTGCTGCAGAGCCAAATAATAGCTTGAAGATGGGGTCTTATTCCAATAAAAACATGATGCCTGAAACTGACATTGGATCATCCGTTTCACCTTTTTCTTGGTTTTATCATTACAACCCCGCATCCAAACCCAGCTTAAGTTCTATGCAACGATCTCAAATACATCATGAACCTGGTCTTGTTGTTGCTCCCATTCGTTCCATTGCTCCTACACCTGAGTCAGGGAGCAACAATGCTTTGGGGAGTAAAACCACAAAGGTGGGGAAACAGACGCCTTCTATGAAGGGTTCTAATCAAATTGCATCCAAGGTTCTGAGACCAAAGCAGCCCAAGAAGAAACCCTCTGTTCCTAAGAAGGCAAAGGGACTGATCATTACCGAAGCCAAACGTGAGAAGAAGAATCTCAACATAGATCTTGATGGAACAAACTTTGATTTCTCTGGGGTGCCTTCCCCCATTTGCTCTTGTACAGGTGTTGGAAGAGTGTGCTACAAGTGGGGTGCCGGTGGTTGGCAATCCTCATGTTGTACTATTAATGTATCAGAATATCCTCTTCCCATGAGTTCCACCAGGCCCGGTGTTCGCATGGCTGGGAGAAAAATGAGCAATGGAGCATATTTGAAACTTCTTCTGAGACTTGCAGCTGAAGGTCATGATCTTTCTCATCCTGTTGACTTGAAGGACCACTGGGCTAGGCATGGTACAAACAAGTTTGTTACAATCAAATAGAGATGCAGATGGCTGGTGCTTGGGCATAATAATATAATAGTTTCAAATATATATTACTCCTCCGTTTTCTAGTTTGAATGTAGTTTGGTGCTCTATCCTAGAGATGGTCTGACAAGTTGGATTGTAAGTATCGTTTCTCTAACTTTCTTGGGTTAAAAACTTAGAAGGGGATGATGCTATGATGAATTTGGAAGCCGGATGCTGTAAAAATAACTTTAATGTAATTTTAATGGATATATTTCCTTCTCTGCAGTACCCTCTTTGCCCCCCCCCCCCCCCCTTTTTTTTTTTGCGTTACACATTAGGTATATTAATAGAATTCAGGTACCGGACATGAAGTTTCCTCGGAGAATATGAATTCCGAAAATTAGTTAGGCAAGGATGCAAAGTTGCATACCATCTTCTCTGCTTAGTTGCAGCTCGTGTGTTTATTGGTTCCGTCTGGATTCTAATGTATAGACCATATACATAGGACATGCAAAATTTTATATGGTAAAGTGCTCAAGGTCAATCATGGATAGTGAAAAAGATATTTTAGTTGATTTTCATAACGTTTCCCCTGAGATCCAAATTCGCAATTCTTTTATCTATTGACGAATTTCGTTGCTCTCTATTTGAAGTTCAGCTGTCCAGGATGAAAGCTGCTAAAGTTTCTCCCTCTTTGTTATCCATGTTGGTCAAACTTTAATAATTTGGATCCATCTGCCATACTTTTATGTTTACCATGGGTTTATGCAACGTTTCCTTTTAGCATGAGGTGCTCCGTTTAAATCATTATTGAGAAGGTTACACAAATTCAAGGAAAACGTCACATTATGGCGATGCTCCATAGCCAATCGTCTTATTCGAGAAAAAAGCCAAAAACCACAGCATCAGAAATGCTTACAAGCAATAGGAACAACAGAAGAGATGATGTCAAAAGGTTCATCTTCTATGAACTTCTTAACTTGAATTTCATCTTTGATCTTGTTTCTCTATGCTACAGATATTCACAGAATTGCAACACAGAATAAATACATAGGAGCATACTCATTCTTATGAGAGCGACAGCCTAACACACGAATGAAACTTGAGGAGGAAGTGGAAAGGAGAAAACTGAAACGAGGAATCCAAATGCCTACTCCAATGTATGAGGAAACTCTTATACTCTTTAGGCTTTTGTTGCCTCCAGTGGAGTTGCAGTTTTGCTTGCAGAAATTTGCTCATAGAGGTCTCTTATCTTCAATCCAACAATGGTTTGGAAGAGGCCGGTTCCGTTGTTACTTCCAGGGAAATCAGCATGCTTCAACATTTGCTGAGTAATTTCCCCATAGAACTTGGTAGAGATGTTGCTCAAATGGCTTTCAACGTAAATGAGTTCATCTAATCTATCAAATTGCCCGTCCATCTCCAGAACGGAAACCTAAAGAGAAGCAACATAAACAGAAACATAACAATTGGCATCAAAGAGTCAGCCAGAAGTCTAAAGATAAATGGAAAATCTAATCAAATGTTGTTGAGAACAGCTAGCTAGAATTTGGACAAGGAATGTAAAGAATACCTCGTGGCCGAAGTAAGTGTCAGGGCCATAGGAGAATTTGATGCCAGGGTAAGAGCAAGTGAGCTTCCTTCCGCATGGTATCCATGAGATGGATGAGCCTTCATCAAACAGGTAAACTGGACTGAAATGCTTCACCCCTTCTTTCATTATCAACCTTACTCTCAAAACCTTCCCCTCATTGTCGTCTGGAATGAGCTGAGTTGGCAGCACTTCAATTACTGCATCAGCATATTGCTTTTGAGGATCTGGACCCAGCAAGCACAATAATGATTAAGGTCTCAAATCTTTCTTTCAGGGATATGAATTGAAGTAGGCTTCTAACACCGTAAGAAAACAAGACACTGTCTAACTTATGTATACGAATAAAACATCCATAGCCTCGCAAGATTTGACAATTGACATTGTCTAATTTCTAGCAATGTTGGCCTGATTTTGCAGGATTTATTCATAAAAATGGGATTCATTGTAAATAAAAATAAGTCTTGAATGGGAATTATGTAGTGTTTTTACCGATGTAGGCATCAAAATCGGGCTTCCTGGCGTCAATACTGGCTTTAATGCTTTCAAGGCTGTGTCCTCTCTCAGCCATGTCCCTCTGCAATATGTTTTCAACAAAGTAAGATCACGCTGATGAACAAAATCTAGGCATTGAATTTGCAGAACATTTTGACATTAATGTATAGAGTTTGTCACCTGAATTTTCCATGCAAATTTGACTTCATTGCTGATGTCCAAATAGATACTGAAGTCCAGGAGATCCCTCACACGCTCATCGAACCTATATATTAAGACAGAGCACTCTTTAAGTAGGTATATAATTGTAGTAGAAGGAACAAAAAAGAAATAAAATTTTAGTACTAGAAATAAATAAAAATTAAACTATTAATAAGGTAATAACAGTGACCAGCAGTACAACTGTGCAACACTATTTGCATTGATTGAAAGGCCAGTTCCCAGGTTACTGAGCCCCAGTCCATGGCCATAAGGTATAATACAAAAATCATTAGGCAGCATTTTTTTTTTCTAATAATTCTGTTGTCCCTTTTTTTTCTTTTCCTATCTTGAGTAGTCGGAATTCTTGGTTTAACATGGTTACCGCCACATTAAGAGACAGAAATTCGATAAAAATAAATAGTAGAGGTCAAAAACTTTTGCTTAGAATTAAAACCAATAATTAGAATGGGCCAAAGTTTTCATTCTGGCCCAACAGGCTCAGAACAGAAATTTTCATAAACTCAAAACTTATCAGCCAATCGATTTTAATCAAAGAATGCATGGGGACTTTACTGATTAATCTAATTTCTTTAGAATGATTGAAACTGACTCGACATTCGGGTTTGGAAACAGAGAAAAAAGAGAGTTATTTTTTTCCCAGAAATTAACAGAATCAGTTTTATGGAATTTTTTTTTTCATCAAAAACAGCCGAAAACATGCAGGGAGGATAGTTCCAAAATTTCATGAACGGATGTGAGGCTGAGAAAAAGAGAAAGAGAGAGAGAATTAATGGATGGCTCTTGTTTCTAGTTTTTGACTTACATAGGGTGCAGTCCTTCGATGACAAGGATCTTAGGGGGCTTAATGAGCTCAGGAGGATCCAAGAGACCAGTAACATGGTTGTAGATAGGCTTATCGACAGCAATACCACTCTTGAGAGCCTTAACTTGCTCATACATGAGGTCAAAGTCGTTAGCTCTTGGATCAAGTGCAGTGACTCCCTTCTCTTTCCTTCCAGTTCTGTCAAGTGAATGATAATCATCTAAGCATATCACCGTGGTCATATCGCTGATGAGTGTGTTTGAGTCAGGGTTGCCTCCCTTTGGTGGCTCTGCTGCACCACCAAACACACTTGTTAGCCTCCTCATGAAGGTACTTTTCCCACATCCTGAGTCTGCAGCCAAACCAATCACGACAGTTTGTGAGTCACCAGCTGAGCAGGTTATGACACATGGGCCGCTGCTGCTACCTCTCTTGCTGGTTCTCTTGCTAGCGCTATAGAAAACTACCTGCTTTTGGTGAAAACCTAAGTGGGTTTTTGTTGGTGTGGAGATTGAACACGTTGAATTGAGAGATTGGGAGGTGTATACTGCGCAAGCAGCCATTGCTTAGCTCTCTCCTGTTCCGACTACTGGGAAAGGGAATTTAGAGAGCTTTGTGACAGGAAGAGATTGCTAAAATGGGATGCCTGGCAAATTGTTTAGATGGTCCTTAAAGATCACGTAAAAACAAGTATGGACTCTTGTCCTTTGATTTCCAAGGAAAATTTTGGAACACAAATAAGTGAAAAAGGTTAAAGAAAAACAAATGTGACTGTTAATCGAAAGAAAACAGGTTATCTATGGCGATGGAAAGCTGAGGTGTCCTTTGTTTATGGTTTCTGTGACTGTCGTTTTGGACACGTTTGAAGGTGATATTAAGGTGTGAATGAAGAGGACTGGAATGGGCTTGAATTAAATGACCATGGATAAAAGAGTCATTTCAAAATTCATTTCCTTAGCAAAAGTATAAAGTATACTAGAACTAGATATTTATTTCGTTTATTATTATAATTAATGAAAAAAGATTGGAATTGTTGATGAGGTGATGGCATATGATATGTGAATGTGATAGATCAACATAGTGCATGGAGATGCTTGGTGGTTATTTGTTTTAGTTTGGATATTTCTGTGCCACGTAGCATGAAATGGGTGGATGGTTAAAGATGATGATGGGTTTGGGGTTGTGGAGGTGATATGGGAAATTCATTCTCTGGACTGTCAACAGTCAAAGTTTAATGGCCAATTCATTTTCACATCCACCAAAAAAAAAAAAAAAAGAAGAATAACAAGTCTACCATTTGCAAATGCCTTTGGGGAACTAAGGGTCTTTGCAACTGAATGTTCTATGCAAAAAAAACAGAGTATGAAGCTTTGCCAACTTTATTCCAAAATCAAGAAAATGATCAAAGGAAGATTATTGCAATCTTCATTTAAACAGGAAGTAAGTGTCAAGTGTGCTAATTACATTACATGCTAACTTATGTGTTGAATCTTTGTATTTATGAGCCGAATCCTTTGATGTTTTGGATTTAGGCATACAACCCAAGTCGACTCCAACAAAATGAAGAAAAAGTTATGATCCGGCCCAAATTAGTGTCCATCCCATTGCCCAACACATCTTTCATTGGGTCTTTTAAGGACCCGTTCTCGAGCTGCCCTGTCCTGCAAGCCTGGAATGAGTTACACGTGTTCTCACACGATTGGTAATGTTTTTTCAATTTCTGTTTTTCCTTTTCATCGTTCGCGGTGATGAACAGTTTTCCCGACAATTATATTTTTTCAACTACTATATCTTCGATTGATACCCTTGCATCTCTCTTAGAAAGGGTTTCTTTTGTATTTAAGTCCCCATCCCTTAATCAGCTTCCTTTGATCGAAAAAGGTATGAAGAAACTGCTCTGTAATTATTTATTTGTTTATTAGTCTTGTTTGTTTCTCTTTTACTTACAAAATTGGGTTAAAGGGCAGGGCTTGAAAATGGGAATGAGTAAAACAGAAGTGAATTTTCGGAGGTTACTTGCAGCTGCACCCCAACAAAAGAATCGTTCTAAACTCATACATGTATGTCCACTCATGTTTCAACCTTCATTATTAATTATTATTATTTTTCGAATTTTGTTTCCATTCTTTATGGGTTTGTTTTTTTTAATGTAAAGAATTCAACTTTTTTTTTTTTTGCAGTATGTTGCTACTTTACGAGAACTGTTAGAACAATTAGCTGAAGAGAGAACACCAGAAGGCTTACCAAGGTTCATTTTTATTCCTTTATTATGCTTTTATATGTATTATTATGTGGATCACAGTAATATAAGAAAGTAGGTCATGCTGCTTTTTGAATATTGATTCGTCTTTACTCCTCTTTGGCAACTGATGTAATCTTTTTGTTCCTGATTTTCCAATTTGTATTGGTTTTCTTCCCTAGAGTTTCAAAGGCCGTGCTCAATGATTATTCAGAGAAGATTGAGGATATTGCCTCAAGCTTATCTGCCACACTGGTGCGTGTATATGTTCTTTAAAACCTATCTTATAGTGATTTCAAGAATACCCTGAATTGGTAAAATGAAATCCTAAAATGCTAGGAATTATTTAAATTTTGTTATACTCATTGGAGTTTTTTCTTCCATTGCTGAATCAATGTGTATGCTTTGTGCTTGTCTGCACATGCGTGCATTGTCTCTTGATTTATCCATAGAGTTTGCCATTGCTAACCATTCTTCTATATGCGTTATTTCAAGCCCAATGTTAAGGTATCCGAAGAGCCTGTCACAAGAAACACTTTTAAACAGAATCCTAAATCAGATGCAGAAAATCACATGCCTTCTTCCCCTGGCTTAAGAAGGAGAGTTGTGTAAGTAAATCTTAAGCATTGAGAATGGCTTTGGTTCATATTAGCTCTTGAATAATGCTAAATATATTTTTTTTACCATAAGTTTTGTTTTGATTGTTTTGAGCCATTGAACAGGCCTACCTCAAGCAACAAAGATAGAACTCATGACCCCACTGAGGCTGATACATCAGCACCTATCAAACTGGATGCTGCAGCACAAGCACACATACAGAAGCACAGGTATCATTAGATATTGTTATAGACGTGTTGTGGCAATTATAAATTGTCCTGAATACAGTTAACATTTGTTTAAGAATAAATTATGATATCTCTTTGCTGAAAATAACTGTAAATGTGATGAGGTCAGTAAATGACGCATCTGGGATTTTACTTGTTATGTCAAAGTTATGTTTTAATGGTATTAGCCTGCATGATTATAAAGCTGGAAGATATCTCCATTTTATTTACTTTAATTTGCTTTTTGTTTTTTGTTGTTGCTAATGACTGTTATTTTATTTTCTTCAAAAACAGAAAGCTTCAAGAAGACTTAACAGATGAAATGGTTGGCTTGGCACAGCAACTTAAAGAGAGTAGTCTTATGATGAGTCGGTCCTTGGAAAACACTGAAAAAGTAAGTTATATACTATTAAGCCTTCTATTATTAGTTATATTGTCTGTACATCTCTAATCTCTCTTGATACTACATGACATATATCAATCTTAGATGTTTTGAACGATACAGATGCAGACAATTGACATATAATTTTTCTTATTTGTATGTTTACATCCGTATTATATTAAGAAACTATGAAGCTTTGTGTGGTTTTTTAGTGTGCAAAATGTACATGGGGAGTTGATGCATTGTGAGTATAGAGATGAATTTTTCATGTTAAGTGCTTGGGACTATCCTAATTGCCCGATTTCAGTCTGGATTTGAACCATGGTTTATTTTATTTGTAATGGTGGGATTACCTTAATTCAGCATTATAACAAAACCAGCATTTCTAAGAATAACTATCTTGACGGCTAGGTTTCGAAGATAAAGGTTGCTGTAATAGCATGTTCTGTTGTTCCTCATGTGTTATCTGTCATTTGTCTATTTGGCCTAGCTTTTTTTTTTCTTTTGTGAAAATGGAAATAACATATTTCAATTGAAGTGGTGTTTTTCATATGTAAGTCACCCATTAGATCTTGGGAATGCAAGTTTCCCGACTTTTGCCAAGTTTATGCATCTCCTGTCTTCCCTTTTGTTTAAATAAAGGAGCACTTGGGATTTCATGTTTTTCTAATGCAACTCCTCGCATTTGTACCTATTATATGCATGCAGGAATTATCTTGCGTTTTCATGTTTTGTCGTACAATTGTTTGCTTTTTGGTCTTATAAGCCGATTACGTAATGAATGCAGATACTTGATTCCACAGAGAAGGCAGTTGAGCATAGTCTTGCTAGTACTGGACATGCAAATGTCCGTGCCATGCAGATATATTCAGAAACCTCAAAGACTACATGTTTCCAATGGCTTCTGATCTTTGTCATGATATGTGTTTTCATCATGGTTGTGCTCCTGATTCGTGCAACATGAATTAGGACAATCTCCTGGATGGTCCGATGAGGTAATGCTACTAGCATTAGAATGAATCATATCATGATTAGCTCCTGTTCATGTTTTATTGAAGTGGAGCAGGTGTTGCATATAGGGTTGAGTGACTGGCTACCGTCAGTGGAATTAAGGTTTGGAGTACTGGAATTACAAAGTTTTGTAATTGTTGCTGCTACCAGTTGAAGAAGATAAACTTGTTTAGTTCTGCACGTTGATTCATTAAATATATTTTTTTCCTACATAACAATGTATTCGAGCATTCTCTCTATAATCATATGAAATGGGTAAAATAAATTGTTTTTTGATAAAATTTTTTCATTGAAGCATATGCAGGCCCCCCAGGTAGAAACTTAAAATACGATTTGCTTTTGGTGGCGTTGTGTGTGTGTGTGTGTGTGTGTGTGTGTGTGTGTGTGTGTGTGTATATATATTCTTGCTAATGGGTAGCATTTACCATCTAGTTTCAATCAGTTTCCCACGGCTGCAACACTTGATATTATGCTTAACAAAACACTGCGAATATTATTACAAGGTAAAAAAGATTTGCGATGATAATGAATTGACCTCTCTTTCTCACTCTCTCAAGGCAGTAAAAACTGTAATTTACTAGAATCTAACTCAGCATACAAACCCATCACATGAATCCATACAGCAATCATAAAAATGATAAACACAATATTTATAAGGTAAAAGATATATATGTGTATATATATACTAAACTACCCTGAATATTCCCAACAGGACCACAGCCTCACTTCATATCTCACTTGTGGCCCCTAAAATACAAGTAAATTTTCTGCACAAATCAACAAGCCAAAAAAAAAAAAGCAAAATTCAGTCAAAATGCGAATAAACATTAAAGCAAAGCAGCATAACGTGCAAGACAAAATACAATGAGTGTCAGCAGCTACGAAATGAATCATATAAATGGTTTTATTTTATTCTGAGACTGGTTCAATGAACTCAAGCACATCATATAGATCTTTTCAATTTTCACAGATTGGCAAAAATTTTCAAACCAACTAGAGCAGAATCATGTGCAACATTACTAATTCTATGTATTATTAGATGTAAGATGAGAAGAATGAAAACTACAAGAAACTTTTCTTACCATGAAGGATAATTAGAGTCCAATTAATCTTAAAAGAGAAAAATATGATGGCATAGCCAAATATAATTTTTCAATAAAAAAATTAAAACTGTAAAGAGATATAATGTCTCCAACCTGAATAACCCACAGGCTTAACAGTGACTCCAAGCAAAACAACCCAAAACCAACAAAGTAGAAAATCTGTAAAAGTACAAATAAATTAGTTAAGCCCAAACATTCAACAGAATAATGTTAAAAAAAAGTTGGACTCTATCTTCAGCAAAGCATCCATGTATGATCGTCTATCTCTCATTATTCTCCTCTGAAGTACATTGTCCAAACAATGGTACCAAATTATTAAATTATATTTGTCCAAACACAAAAATACATTTGAGATGGTGAGAAGAACCCAAATCCTTAGATTCCTACAACTTGCTGCTAATAAGAGATAACTAATTCCAACATGCAAAAGTAACACAGCTTACCCCTGCCACCATATGATCAGAGACATCAATTGCTGCCAGGATACCACTGCAATTATAGGCAATAGAAAAATATAGTAACTGCATATAGTAACCGTAAAATACAAAGTTGAAGTGCGATTCTCTAGAGGCATCAAAAGATAAAATCAAAAGAACATAAAAACAGCTAACAAGCAGCAGTTTGATCAGGCAAAACTGAACAAAAGGGTTATAGAATGTCCCAGTCACTAGCAATGTGTATAACAGTAGCTAAAAAGGCCTGGATCATCTGTACAGTCAATCACATTTAAAACATAATTCATAACAACGTAACATATACATGAATTTGCTTGGACAATCAACAAATTTGCCAACTCAAGGTCCTGACTTCAGGATAAAGTTGGGGAATGAAGAACTTACGTTAATGACTTTCCATGAAAGACAACAGGAGGAGCTATTGCTGCAAAAATGCAAAATCCAAGGTGGAGCTATACAAAGCAAATAAACAGTTTAAACATAAATCAACCAAATAATAACAATGCCTTGAATGATCACAACTAAACTCACCAAGTAGAACATGAAAAACCAACCAAAATTCAAGGCACTATCTGTCCTGCAAGGTGAAACAAAAAACCCAGAAGAACAACCATCAGCACTCCAAAATTTTTCAATTTTCATGCTACATATAGAATATTTGTACCAATCACTATATATTTACCTCATTGCTCGGTAGAGAGGTCTATACCACAACACATATGAAAGAGGAATTCCAAGCAACATGTAGATTATAGCAAGGAAAAAAATTTTAACACCTACAATGTATAAACCATGTTAGAACACAAACACTATTGCATGCCCAGACCAAATTCCACAACAAACACAAAATATCAAAGAGTCAAAAAAACACTTACCACCACCTTGGATCCAACAGACAATCACTGCAAGAACATTAAAAACAAGACAAAGAACTATGCCTGAAACAATAAAAATGAAAGCATGTCAGTGATACCAACAATGAGGAGGTGGTAGGGAAGGTGTAAAGTTTTCTATTATTGCCAAAACCTGTCAAAAAGATTACATGCTATAACTGTTAAGTGAAGATTCAAGGATGGTTTCAACATGAGATTTCCCAGGTTTAAACAATAAAAAGATTAAAAGAAAAACTGCTTTGAATCCATTACACGGGAATGGCATCCACACAAGCATGTATGCACAAGATAATAATATTATTAAGTATTTGATGATTAAACTGGAAAAGAACTAAAAGAGAAAAGGATAATTTAGAATCATTAGAGTGAAAAACGGACAGAGAGTAAAAGGTGCTATGACAATAAAATTCACTGCAAACACTTATACCCATAAAATCTACAAGATAGTCGTTTATATAAAAACTTAAACAATTAACATTAAAAAAGCAGTAACCTATATTAGCAGAGAAATATCCACAACAACAGAGCAGAAAGATTAGCCTCCATACCTAGCCAACTTGCAAATGCAAGATATTGCAACCTCTGAGCATGAACCGGTATCTCATTAGCTATATCATGATGTATGATTGGGAAAATCGGTGGCCAATTTTTGTCATCTATAGGAACACCAGCTGACATGCCACAAATGAAAAAGAGAGAACATTAGCACCTTACCACAATACTTGAAAAGAAAGGAAAGGTAAACAGTTGCTTATGCTCCTATTCTCTTACCTTGGGAAACAGCATCTTCCCTTCGCTTTATGTCCTGAGAAATAAAATTGAAAAAAAAAAAAGAAGTTAAATAGCAACTAAACTCAAAACTCATGAGTATACTTAATGCACTGCCCAAATGGAGACTTTGTTTAACAAAAAAAAAAAAAGAAAAAAAAAAGCAAGTGATTCACACTTCTAAACAAGCACCAAGTTAAAATTAACCTTTTCTCTTCTTTTAAGATCAGCTTCCCAAGCTGCAAGCTCCTTTTCCTTTTTCTTTGGATCCTATAATTAACAATACCAATACAACAATCAGTCATCCCATGTGCATTCAAGCTATAGAAATCCATAGGAATAGAAACTTCATTACATTCATTGCATCCAGAGGTATATCCACTGTAGCATCATGTTTGTGCCCAAAACCCAGAGGTTCGGATGTCAGTGGTCGTGCAGGTGCCACAGCACCACCATTCTGCAATAACTCACAATAAGTAACACCAAAGAGCACAGTGAAACATAGTTAAATTAATGCACACCTAAACAACAAAATATGACCAAGCAATACAAGAGCAAACATCTGTACCAGAGATATAAATCATGCTGATTAATAATTGTTCAAAACACAGCACTTAACATGGTATAAACTATGAACATTACAAGCGTGTATCAAAGTTATTACATACATAATCACATGAAGAACCCTCTTAGACTCAAATCTAACTTATATTAGACTTCTACGGTCCATAAATTTCCAAATTATGGTAACCATATTTTGAAACTAAGTTAATATCACTATTTATCGAAAATTTCAGATTTGCCAAACTATTCTCACGATGACTATATATTCGTCTTAAAGAAACTCAAAAAATAAATATGGAAATAAAACTTTTTTAATTTAAATTACATTTTAGGTTCAAAAATAAAAGCCATTTAACAAAAGTTAAGAGACGGAAATTTTCACTTGTTAAGTCATATAAACCAAAGTTTTCCCATTAATTGCAATAAAAGTAAATACGAAATTCAACAATTGAAAGCCATTTCCTCCCCGAAATTTTAGCAAGCAGGTTTCTCAGATCCATTCTTCCCGAGACCTAATCCCCAAACTACCCCTACCGCACATGTAAACAGAACAAAAATCCAGATCTGAGATGGGCAAAAAAGAGAAACTAAAAAACGAAAAATGAGATTCAATACCGAAAATGGATTGACTTCTTCTTCATCGAAGGGGTTAGGATCGTGGTGGCGATTCATTCTCTCTGTGTCTCAGATCCGAATATTTCTCCAAAATAGGCCAAATTTTGTTGAGTGAGTTACCAGGGAGACAGAAACACTACTTTACTCGTGTAAATTCGATTGGCTTGTGAATGACGCGGGATAATAGATGATATTCAGGATTTGCCCTTCATATTTGAAATAGTGACGAGTTTGGCTTGCGTGGCAGACAGTGTTACTTATTTGCTTAAATGGATGTACGTGGCAGTTTCAGTGTAATTGCACCATAAAACTGGTAAATCAGTGATTGCCACGTAATGAGTAAAGTGGCGTAATCATCACGCGTTTTCAGCTTTCACAAGCGTCGGTAGATTTGCCAAAAACTAATCGCTTGTCCAAAGTTCAAGAAAATAATATCATTTTAAAAAAAAAAAAAAAAACTGTAAAATATATCTTGTAGGCTGCGGCCTTCACCGGTTGGTCAAGCGTTGGACACCGGACAGTCCACCTTTAGATACTACCTAAATATGATTCTTCGGTTCCAATGAACTTTAGCTACCTTAGTCACGAGCCTCACCCCTAAATTTAGATTTTTTTTTTTACCTACATTATGTTCTATTTTTTATTTTAATTAGGTAAGTAAGAAGCATATTTAAATTTAGTTTGAATTTAATTTTTAATAATTTTAAAGAAATATTTTTTTATATTTACCTAATGTATTGCTCTTAATAAATATAAAATTTTAAATCAGTTGATATATTATTGATATTACAATTATACTTAAAATTTATGTGTTTGAGAAAAAATTATAAACGTAATATTTTTTTTATAAGATAAATAACAAAGTATGAAGGTTTAAGTGTAAATTAAAAATTAAAAAAAATAATTACTCATAAAAGAGTATAAAAAAATAATAATAACACCGCTGTTTCAATGGATTTATTGGTGTTTAATCACGGTTTAAGTTTTTTTTTTTGGTAAGCTTGTCTTGATTTCCTCCAGGGGCCATTTCAGCTAATTTGAAGAAACAAAATCAAAAGAAAAAACAAATTTGCAAGAGCACATAACTAAAACGAACAAGCCCTATCGCTAAGTTAATGTTTATTCATATTTTCTTAAAACAGGGATGGCATGAAGTGGTACAGCTTTCTTCAAAGTCATGCCAAAATGTTCTTGCATGTCCAGGTCTTCTGGACTGATTCCTTGAGGAAGTTTCCAATCAAACGAAAGGATCATCGAAGCTATATCTTATCTATATCTACCATCCGAGGGGCAAAGGCAAACCTAACAAATCTTTTCTCCCTGCTCCAAACGGTATAAATTCAAAGCTTCCACCTCTGTAATCTATTTTGGAGCCAATGAACCTTTCTGGGTAAAATGTTAGTGGCTGATTCCAATATTTTGGGTCTCGATTGATAGCCCATACGTTCACTAAAACATGAGTGCCCTTGTATGGTGTAACCACAGATTTCTACATCATTTCTTGCTTTACACGGCAAGAGAAGGGGCTGCTGGGTGGAGTCGCAGGGTTTCTTTTACAACGGCTTGAAGATATGGGAGATCATCGATGTCTGATTCTTTCACAGTTCTTTCCGAGCCAATAACTTTAATGAGTTCCTTCCTTGCCTTTTTCATCACCTCAGGATTTCGAAGAAGCTCCGTCATTGCCCATTCTGTGGTTGTTGCAGATGTCTCACTTCCAGCAACGAACAAGTTCTGTCAAAATGCCAGACTTGAACATGTAAATTTTGCATTACGTGTAGCATATACTATTTGATTAGCCTGAAGCTAAGTTTCACACACTACATCATTTGACTTTAGGAGTTATCGCCTTAATTTAAAGGGTTAAATTTACCAAGAAAAGTCAAATTTTCACCTGGATCAAAGGCTTGATTGTTTCACGATTGAGAACAGATCCGTTCTCTTCCCATTGATCAAGCAGCACATCCAAGAAATCACCATTCCTGGCGGTTGAATCTGATGCTCTAGCCTCCATTCTTTTACCAATCATCTCGTCAAATATCTCATGTATCCTGTCATAAGGCAGCCTTGCATGCTTCCTCACTCCCTGCAAATCAAACCTCTTCAACACCGGAATATAATCCGATAAATTTGGTTTCCCTGCGCTTTCCACCATCTTCCACACCAGATCTTTAAACTCTTGAGCTCTACTAAATTCTGGGTCAATAATATCAATTGAAAACATTGTACTGAAAATCAAGTTCAATGTAGTAGCAAAAAGGACTTGACCTATATTAACTTGGGAACTTGAAAGACAATGTTTCCGGATATGTTCAATAAGTTGCTCAACTTTCTGGTAGCGTAGGTGTTGTAGAGAGTTGAGTTTTTGTGCACTGAACAACTGGGTGCTGCATATTCCGCGGAGTTTGCGCCACCTATTGTCATCACTAGGACCCCATACCAAGGAGGCTTCAAGGTTGGGCATGGAAGCAATAGCATCAGGAATTGGGCGGTCGGAGAAGGATTGAGCATGAGTTTGGAGGACTTGTTTGGCCATTTCAGGGGAGGAGAGTACTACAGTTGTGACGGAGCCTAGGCCGAGAGTCATGATGGGGCCATAGATTTTGGCAAGCTCGGAGAGGGATTGGTTTGGATGATGGCCTAGGCGATGGATGGAGCCAATAATGGGGAGGCCAGTGGGACCTGGAGGAAGGTTTAAAGCCTTGGAGAAGTGGAACAAGGGCTTGAAAAGTAGGAAGAGGATGGAGATGCAAAACAAGATGATGTATAGTTCCATTTTGGTTAGAGTGTGGCCTGTGGGTGTCCTGTGTATGAGGTGTTGATGCAAAGCGATTATAAAGACTGATTTTCAAGTTGGAGAAACCTTCCAAATTGACAATTATAAACGTTTTTCAGCAAAAGACACATAAAATGGACCAACCGTTGAAAAGCGTGGTAGCTGGCTGGCAGGCTTCCTCCTACTAGTCCATGTCTCGTCCCTTGCTTTTGTTCATTAATTAAAAAAAACAAGTGGTGAGGCTTTTGGGTTCCATTTCTAGTGAAAACTTCAGGAGTGTGTTTCTATGTTAATCATATATAAATAATTACATATAACGGCCGTTAACTGGTTTAAGTACTACTATGATAGTAATCGTAGCTTACGAAAAGAAAATGGTACTCATCGTCATTAACTCGTACATCCAATCAACATATTTAATAGTGATTGTTCTTTGGGATTCGGATGGCCGGACAATCACTCCTACAAAGGTCTTAGCATAAACTTTAAAATGTTCAAGAAAGATACATAATGATAATTTACCCCTTTTTGTTCATTACTCTTTTCACACCCAAATAGGAATAGCACAAAGTGGTGTAGCTTTCTTCAAAGTCATTCCAAATTGTTCTTGCATGTCCAAGTCTTCTGGATTGATTCCTTGAGGAAGTTTCCAGTCAAACGAATGGACCATAGAAGCTAACATCAAGTGCATCATACGAACTGCAAGAGGCAAGCCTGGGCATATCCTTCGCCCTGCTCCAAATGGTATATACTCAAAATCACGACCTCTGTAATCTAAGCTGGAATCAAGGAACCTTTCAGGGCAAAATGAAAAAGGGTCGTTCCAGTATTTGGGGTCTCGACCAATAGCCCACGCATTCACCAGAACTTGTGTGTCCTTTGGTATGATGTAGCGATATATTTCTACATGATTTTTGGCTTTATAAGGTAGGAGAAGAGGAGCAGCTGGATGGAGCCGCATTGTTTCTTTGACAACAGCTTGAAGATATGGGAGTCGATCCATGTCTGATTCTTTCACAGATCTTTCATTGCCTATAGCTTCTGCGAGTTCCCTTCTTGTCTTTTGTAGCACTTCAGGTCTTTTAAGGAGCTCTGCCATGGCCCATTCTGTTGTTATTGCGGATGTATCACTTCCAGCAATGAACAAGTCCTGTTTAAATGTCACAAGTAACAAATCTGTATTTAATCTTTACTCTCCATGAAATTTTTTTATAAAAATTATACTCCAAAACTTTTTTACAACAGTTAAGTACCACCCGCTAATGTCACAAGTAACAAATCTGTATTTAATCCTTGCTTGGGCTGTATAGGGCAGCAGAAACAGAGCAGTAGTGAATAATATGCATAGGACAGGTCATGCAACAACAAGGTTTACAAGTTCCTACCTGGAGGACTATCAGCGTGGCAAGTACAACATGTTGTGCTGGAAAGGAAAAATCAAGGCTGCCGGTAAGCACCAGAGGGGAATACCATCAAGATCAATTTTGATGGTGCTTTGGACTGCGTGAATGGGAAAGAAGGGATGGAAGCAGTAATTAGGAATAGTATGGGAGAACTGATGGGGGCAATCTGTGAGCTTCTTATGCGTGTAGGGATCCTGCATCAATAGAAGCATTGGCAGTACTAATGGCAGTGAGATGGGGGGTGGAGATGGGCTTCCAGAGAGTGGAGATCGAGGGGATGCTTTATTGATTGTCAAGCTAATTTTACAGAAAGAAAGAAGTCTATCTCCAGTCGGGCACATTATTGATGACGTAACTCTTGCTGACGAACTACGCTGAATGGAAATGCAGCTTCGTGAATGAATAGTGTTGCTCCATTGTTTGTCAAAGTTAGCTTTAGAAGCTAATGGTACTATTCAATGGATGGATGCCTATCCTACTGATATATTTAGTAAGCACAAGAAAAAAAAAAAAGAAACAAAGAAAAATCAAAGAAAAAAACAAAGTACTACCCACTAATTGGCGTAAGAAAACTAATTAAAGTAATGGGTCAATTTCTAAAACCATATATAGCTACTCAAAATTTTACAACTATTGTCATCCTCCTTATTGTCTTTCGTCTCATTAGTGATTAAGAAAGTGTTATAAGAACATAAAAATTTTTATTTTGAGTCATGATTTCCTTTTATATATATATATATATAAATATAAGAATTATGTCTTCTTATGAATAAAAAAAATGTACAATTATTATAACTAAAACCTGAAAAAACGGGATGTATTTAAAGACTTAATTAAAAGAAAATATTTTAAAAAATAAGTTATTTGATGAATTGAGTGTATAATTTTGTTAAATATATGTGAAACAAAAAAATAAATATTTTAATTATTCTATGTAATTTTGATTTATTTATTTTACGGACTGAGTTGTTTTCCATTAAATCAATAAAAAAATTTAAGAATAGTGTTTAGTTTATCATCAGTATGTACTCAACCGACGATACAGTGTCAATCCCAAAATCAAATTAAAAGTGAATGTTATTTCATTTTTTTTTAATGAGACAAATCAATTACTGGTACGTTAGGTAAAATAATGTGCCTACTAAGTGCATTTTTTCATGTAGTATTAAAAATATTAGATGATTTTGATTTGATTTGATTTATTTCCTCCAGATAGCAGGTAAAGCATTACTAGAAACATCTACGATCGATGTGATTTTTAGCCACTCAAACGGACAGTCCATTTATAAATTAATAATTTTTCACATTAATGGACATAAATTTTGCACAAGTAAACGTCACCGAGGAAAATATAGATATCTTCAAACAAAAGGAAGTCATCATCGCCAGTACAGCTGAAATTTTTTATTTACCATTGATTTTTGTTTTTGTTATGAAATCATACCTCAGTTTCTATAGCTTTAAAGTCTATAAACATAACTAATCAAAATTTCAAAAATTAAATATAAAAAATCCTATGAGCAAAATTAAACGAAATGCTTACCAGGATCAAAGGCTTGATATTTTGGCGACTGAAATCAGACCCATTCTCTTCACACTGATCAAGAAGCACATCCAACAAATCACCACTTCTGGTCATGGAATTTGATGCTTTAGCTTCCATTCTTTTATCAATCATCTCATCAAATATCTCATGCAACCTCGTATACGAAGGCCTTATATGCTTCCTTATTCCTTGCAAATCAAACCTTTTTATCATCGGGAAATAATCTGATAAGTTTGGTTTTGCTGAATCCTCCATTATCCTCCATACCAAGTTCTTAAACTCTTGAGCTGTATTGAATTCAGGGTCCACGATGTCTATGGAAAAGATCGTAGTGGATATCAAGTTCAGCGCCGTAGCGAAAACAACTTGTCCTATGTTAACTTGGGACCCTGAAACACGTTGTTTCTTGATGTGTTCAATGAGTTGCTGAACTTTTTCGTGGCGAAGGTGTTGAAGAGAGTTGAGTCTTTGTACAGTGAACAACTGGGTGTTGCATATCCTACGGCGGTTGCGCCACCTGCTATCGCCTAGGGCCCATGCAAGGGTTGACTCAGGGTTAGGCTGGGAGGCGACAACATCAGGAACAGTACGGTCGGAGAAGTTTTGGTCGTGTATTTGGAGAACTTGTTTGGCGGTTTCAGCGGAGGAGGCAACGATGGTGGTGACACAACCAAGGCGGAGAGTCATAAGAGGGCCATAGATTTTGGCTAGCTCGAACAGGGATTGGTTAGGATGAGAGCCTAAGCGATGGAGAGAGCCAATTATAGGGAGGTTCATGGGGCCTGGAGGGAGGCTGCGGGAGGAGGAGCGATGAAGGAAGAGGAGGAGAAGAGAGACGCAGAACAAGAAGATGTAGATTAATTCCATTTTCGTTTGGTTCTTGAACGGTGTCGAGGATCACAGCATTTAAACGACAGCAAAGTTTATCCGTACAACACCTTTTTTTAGACACGAAAATCGACATGTGGGATGTAGAAAAATCAACTGACGTCTGTACATAAAAGGGAAATTTTATATTTGATGCCATATATAAATTTTAAAAATTATTAATAAATTCGATGGTAATAATTTATTAATAAATAAATATTAATTTTTTTAAATAATTTATTTATTTTATTAATAAAATATTATTCAATTTATTAACATTATATACTGTATCGATATATTTATAATATATCAAACATAAATTTTAAATAAAATATTAATTAGTGATAAGGAAAGAGGGAGAGAGAGAAAATATAAATGCCCTACAACCTAACTATCTCATTAGCTGGCCAAAAAAAATATAAACTTAATTATATGTCAGCTTAATAAATATTAATTAATGTAAGGTAGTATATTATAATCACCATAATCATAACTAATGCATCACTACTTTGAAAAAGTGCTAAATAAAGTCCACACTAAATATTGAAAGAAGGAAATTAAAGAAATATATAATAAAAGGGGTAGATGGAATCTACCTACCATAAATATTGAAAAAAGGAAATTAAAGGAATATATAATAAAGGGGTAGATGGAATGTACGCAACAGGAGCTGACTGGTGCGATGAACTAGAACATTATGTATAACATGAGCCAATGGTCGGTCCTAATCTAAAATAATTAAAATTACATTTAAAACAAATTAAACTCCCTCAGTTTCAATTTGTTTGGGTGATTGATTTTCATGAAATAAAAAAAAGGTTTTGATTTTAGTGTATTTAATATTAAAATTAAAATTATAAAATCAAAGTTTTATGATTTTAAATGTCAAAAACTAAAAAAATATATAAAAAATAATTTTTAAATATAAAAAATAAGAGTTTAGATATTTCAAAAAGAAAAGAAATTATAATTTTCGGACATCTAAAGAAGACGAATAAAGAAAATGAAACGGAAGAAATATGTGATATTGATTAATATGAGCTTATATAAAATAATATAATTGATTATAATTTATATATTAAAAATTAATGATGAAAATTACTAGTATTCGTCGATATATATATTAAAAAAATCAAAGATGAAGTTATAAGTTATAGCAATTTATTAGCAGATAAAATATTAAAATTTTAATTTAAATATGATTGATAGATAAAAAAAAGGATCATGTCTTAACCTATGTTTCTAGCCGTTATTAAGTAAGCATTCTTAGACATATGTTTATTTTAAAAGACTTTGATAAATATAAAATCTTAAATTTTAAAATTTTTAAAAATTAAATAATTAATTAAATAAAATTATTTTAAAATATCTTATGTGTTAATAATATAGGTTATTCACTTAAGCATTTATGTAAATAAATTTTATCTAATTTTTATGTATATTTTAAAACAATATTATATATGATGTATTTTTCCTTCAAATTCGACCTAACAAAATTATTTTTAACCAGTAGTAATTAATTTTAAGCGAACCGTTGACTCCCTTTCACTTTCCATTCTGGTTATTAAGTATTAACATATCCTAAACGTAACTATTGCTGCATTTTAAAATTTGCAAATTGTAACCAACGATTTGATTTTGAGATTTTCTTTTCTCCTCTTGGGACTATCCGTTGCAGTCTAGGGAGATAATGGCTACATTTCTTTTGAGCAATAAAAAGAAAAAGGGGCCTTTTAGGATTTGGACCTTGGATCTGTGAAAGAACTATGGTTCCAGGGCACGTTAAATGGGCGGAAGCCCAAGGTAACTGGCTCTCTTTTGCCCACCATAAAAACCAAGTCAAATGGCGGTGTTTCAAGTTTACGCGCTTTAGAAAACTAAAACCCTAATATAAAATCCTAATTTCCCACCCGTCTCACCCTTTGGGTTTGGTTCCCTTTGTAGCGCAGCTTGAAACAATGACTCCCTCAAAGGAACCAGTAGCCCCAGAAAGCAGGAGCAATCAAGCATTCGGGATGAAGAAAATGAACAAGAAGAACAAATTAGCGAAAACAGAAGACCAAGGTGAAGAAGATGCGAAGCAGAAGCACCAAGAAACCGAAGAAATTGAGCCCAAAGAGAGCAAGAAAGAGAAGAAAAAACGCAAGAAAGAGAAAGAAAACAACAAAGAAGGTGAAACCCAAGAAGGGAATCACGAAGAAAGGGCTGACGAGCCTAAGAAGAAGAAGAAGAAGAAGAACAAAAAGCTGAAGAAAGAGGAAAATGGGGAATTTATTCAAACTCGAATGGAAGAACAAGGTTCATTCCAATTTGATGGGAGGGAGAAGGTGATAGTGAGTGGAAAGAACGCTGAAGAAGCGAAATATGCGCCGTTGAAATCGTTTGCTGACTCTAAGTTACCAGAAAGTGTTTTGGATTGCTGCAAGGATTTTAGTAGCCCATCTCCCATTCAAGCTAATGCCTGGCCCTTTTTATTGGACGGTCGTGATTTTATTGGAATTGCAAAAACTGGGTCAGGTACTTCCTTTTTTATACTTAAGTAGTTTGTTACTTGTTACATGATCAAGGTTTTATTACTGGATAGTTTCTTAGTTATTTTGTTTTTTGAAATTTGTTAGCTCAAAGACTTGAATTAAACCAAGAGGGAGTGATTTGGTTGATAATAAAATTTTCAAAAATAAATATCGAGCAATCGCAAAATTCACAAATCAGTTTTTTTAATTAAATAAACACAATAAATATGAGTACTAATAATCTTAAAAGCAAGAGATTGAGATAGAAAATCAAATCGTAAAATTTATAGAGGTTTCTTTAAGCACCTACGGCCTCTGCTCTTACTTGTCAAGGAGTTCAATCCACTATGTATTGAAAGTTACAACTTAACTCTTCAAAGTTCTATACAATAAACAATACAATCTCTTAAGGGTTATCTCCTCCTTAAACTCATAATCTCACAATATAAATTTTTGAAGTTTTTTGCAAACTCAAATAACCTCTCTAAGGTTGGATTTTTGTTAATTTAAAGTACAAATCAAGATTGAGAAGAATATCAAGAAAAAATCAGATAAAATAAGAATTTTTTCACTTTTCTCACGCTAGGATGTTTTTTAATGCTTGGAGAAGATGGTAGATAGAAGCAATAAGTTTTTTTGGCTCTTCATACTCTTCAATTGCAGTGGGAGACTTTCATTTATATGTTGAAAGAGTGAGATAGCCGTTGTTTGCATTTAATGCTTGAAACCTGCAAAATTTCAGATAAAATAATAGTCGTTGGGGCTTTTTAGGCATCAGGAGATATAGGGGATTGAGTGAGTCAGTTGAAACAAAACCAATATTCTTGCCAAACAAAGGCTATCTGATCAATCAGGTAAGGGACCTGATCGATCCCTACCCAGGTGATCGATCCCCTATGTAGGGTATCAATCCCTTTTGCAACTTTTTAACCCCATATTCTTTTTTATAAAAAAGGGATTGATCCCTTAAAAGGGATCGATTAGGTACTTTGAAACCCTAACCAATTGATCCTTACAGAGAGGGGATCGATTGATTTTTTGAAAATTTTGCCCAAGATAGGCTATTGGAAGAAAAATGGATCAATCCCTTCACCTAAGAGATCGATCTCTTCCTTTTATCCCAAATTGTCCAAAATTCATTTTGTTTCCATAACATGTTTTGTTTTAGTTCAAAAATAATTTTTGGCAAGATAGAAGGCTGGATAAATGTTCAATTTGAGATGAAATAAATTTGATTCAAGTTAGGCAAATTTTTGTTTTGTCATTTCAAAAGCTTTTATCATTTCGAGGCTAACAAAATTGTTATGAATGCTGAATCTAAGTTTATTTCTATTATTTTGTGATATCGGTTTTTATGATCAGGCAAGACCTTAGCATTTGGGGTACCGGCAATGATGCATGTATTGAGCAAGCGAAATGGTAAATCCTCAAAGGGGAAGAATCCGCTCTGCCTTGTGCTTTCCCCTACAAGAGAGTTGGCTGAACAAGTATGCACCTGTTTGGCTTGGTGTTGCATTAGCAATTTGCATATAGTATATATTTAAATTTCATTTTTCAGATATGTAATGACAATGCATAATATCTATTAAGACTTGTTTCTTAAGAGTGTAACTTCTGGTGGCAGATATTTAACGTTTTGTGTGGTGCTGGAAAATCATGTGATGTCAATTCTGTCTGTTTGTATGGAGGAACCGCCAAAGGACCTCAGATTTCTTCTTTAAAGTCTGGTGTTGTAAGATATGCTATCTCCTTTCTCAGTTCAATTATTTTATATGTGGCTGTGCTTATTTAGTTTTTTGGGTTAAATATGTTATTTTTAGCATATGCCATCCTTTTTTCTCTTTCCTGGTTTTGTTTCAAATGTTCTTGGAACTGCTGACTGGTGAGGCACTTTATTGCTTAAACAATTGTTGTTATAATTTTATGTGTTTATTCTTCCATATATGTTTGCTTTCAAAAGGATATGTTTGAAAACGGGTGTTTACTCTTTAGCCACGTTACAATGTGATTCTGCAAGTGAACTATGTTTGAATATTGATGGAACTGAGATGTTTTGTTAAGTTGTCTGGTTGAGTCTTAAACAGTTGAAGCTTTCTGTTATCATGATTTCAATAGATTATGTGAAAGGTGTGGCTTGCAATCACATGTTTTTTTCCACTTGTTAAATTAAATTTATTCATTTTGCTTGTTTTGTTTAAATTTATGCTGCCAGCATGTTTGAGGGATAATGTTTCTATATTTTCTTATATTGGCCTAATGTAAAATGGATTTCCCTCTTATCTTAGGATATAGTAATTGGAACCCCTGGTCGTTTGAAGGATTTGATGAATATGGAAGTTTGTCAGCTTAAGGAGGTATCTTTTGTGGTAAGTGAATGCTCCTCTATAGTCATTACTGTCTTGCATTGCCCTTTATCTAGCAATTATTCAGTGATTTCTATGTCAAATTAATTTATTTTTCCCCATAATTGACCATTACATACTGTTTTAGGCATTGAATGTATTGGAACTAATCAGTACAACCGCTTCAATTTATTTGCTATAGTTGCTAGCCTGTTCCGATTGCCTGAACATAGAGCTTTTGGTGATACTTGTTATGTCCCTTTTCTTGAGTAGATGGAGTATGTAAGCACTAAGTAAAAGTGAATTAATATTATGTAGGTCCTTGATGAAGCGGATCGAATGCTGGACATGGGATTTGAAGAGGATGTTCGCTTTATATTGGGAAAGACATGTTCTGGTATGTGTTTTCATTGATACATTGGAATTTTAAAGACTCTGAGAAGTTGTTAAGTTTAAAGCTTTTACTGATACTTGAGCTTTACGGTTGATTATGACTCTAGAGTAAATATTATTAACCATTGATAACATCAGGTTCAATCAAGCTAAGAAAAATTGTTATGCATATTGGTAGGATAAAGCATAAGCAATTAGGTTGGAGACTCTCATATCTCTTTTAAACCTGTGCAGCTCGTCAGATGGTAATGTTTAGTGCTACATGGCCTTCAGCAGTTCATCGATTAGCTCAGGAGTACATGGACCCTAATCCTGTTAAGGTACATATCTTCATGGATGATGACATTATCATGGCTTCCTATTTACTTGAGTAAATAATGAATTTGCTTTTAGGTTGTGATTGGCTCAGAAGATTTAGCTGCCAACCATGACGTTATGCAGATAGTGGAGGTCTGTTTTCACATAACCCACTTAAACCATCTTTCATATTAACTTATTCTGTATGGATAGGCACTTGCTTTTATTAACAGTTTTTTGTTTGTCGTGTGTAGGTTTTGGATGATCATTCACGTTATGAGCGTTTGACTGCTTTGCTGAAGAAATACCATGAATCTAAGAGGTATTTGTTCTCATATCTGTTGAAGTATACACATTTTTTGTTTTGATTCTTCTAGTTGGAGATTGCTTCGATAAGAAATGTGAATTTATTTTCTTTTTCTGGCTTTGATAATTGTTTATGAAAAAATATTGTGGTTTGTAAATAAATTAAACTAGAAGTAAACAAGACATGTACCAAAGATTGAAAAAGAAGGGAAACCAAGAAAATATAGGAGCAAACAGAAAATTTTCCTTATAGTTTCATTATATTAGCCATCCAAGAAATCCTTGTGATTTCTGGTAGATTATGAATATTGTTTTCATTTGATAGGATATTTGTCCTAGTAGTTGGCATACCTTTTAGGGATAATAAGCCCTCTGGCATCAGACTAAAGCTTTATGTTGGAGCCATACTGTTACTCAAGTTACTTGAACTTGACTAGAGCTCTCGTATTCTTCTGTTATTTTATTATCTTTATTTATATATTCATTATTTTTTGTTTATAGTTATTTTACATCGTATTGACATGGAGGTTTGCATTTCAATCAGGAATAGAGTATTGGTATTTGTCTTGTACCAGGCAGAAGCTGATCGTATTGAAAATATGCTTCGAAGAAGGTAAATTTGACCACCCTGGTCTCATTTTAAATCAATAAGTTTGAAATTTCCATTCATCAGCTAAATAAAATGGGTAGTATTCTGGTAGTCCTTTAAGTTGGATGCAATTATAGGTCTCCAGTTTGTCTTCTTAAGTTAAGCACTTGAACTATTTAAAATCTGCAACAGCGCTTATCAATTTAATTTGATGATGTTAATCCAACATGCCTTCGGCATGCACTATTGACATTCTTGTAAATGGCGACTTATGAAATTAAATAAATTATAAAAAATGCTTGATAGTTCAAGTTGGTTAGTTTTAAAAGTTCAAAAAAAGTTGTGTATACTTAACGGCATCAAAATTTAAGTCCCATTCTTTGGTTCAATCTGCTAAAGAATCAACGTAGCTATTTTAACGAGTTTTCATTTCAGCTTCTTTTTTTATTCACTTTATTTTATTTTGTTTTTCTAGTGGTTGGAATGTTGTTTCTATTCATGGTCGCAAAGCACAACATGAACGGACTAAGGCACTATCATTATTCAAGAAGGGAAGCTGTCCTTTGATGGTATGCTCCTGCAAATTATTTCTTTTCTTAAAAAACTATTGTTCTAATCTTTCTACTGAAACTCAAAGTTGGTAACATCAATGGGATCTGTAGATTCCTAGTAGTATTCTTTATGTGTTACAATGGTCCAACAAGAAAAAAAAAAAAAAGAACCTGGGGTGATGTCAAGTTTACCACGTTTTGACTTTTTCCAGACATTTCTAAGATTTGATTGGTAAACTTAATTACTTTCTTTGGGCATTTACCCCTGCGCTATTAATGTTTAACAAAGAACATTCATTATTTCTCCAGCTGTATTGGTGTAGCTGGTTTAACTTTTGGTACTTTGAGACCATATTTTTCAGGTAGCTACAGATGTGGCTGCTCGAGGATTGGATATTCCAGATGTTGAAGTAGTGATCAATTATAGTTTTCCTCTCACTACAGAGGATTATGTACATCGGATAGGGAGGACTGGAAGAGCTGGTAGGAAGGGTGTTGCTCACACATTCTTCACACAGCAGAATAAGGTATACAAAATACAGACTCTTCCATGTCCTCAACTCTATGTAACATTTCTGTGGAAAACCTAGTCAACATTATTTTTTCAAGTGGTGACAAGCTTGTGGCAGGGACTTGCTGGAGAGCTGGTAAATGTTCTCAAAGAAGCTGGGCAGATTGTACCACCTGCACTGTTGAAATTTGGAACCCATGTGAAGAAAAAGGTTTGTCTTTCTACCATTCTGTAGTTATCTTCCCATTTCTTTTTTGCATGCATCTCAGAGATGTTCACATTCAAGTGTGTGGTTGATGGAGATATCTCATGTCCACTTCTATTACTAATGGGCAATGGCATCTTGAATTTTGGACTAGTTGTATAAGTTTGGTTATCTTGTTGCCTGTCTTAATGCAGGAGTCCAAGCTATATGGGGCTCACTTCAAAGAAATTGCTGCTGATGCTCCAAAGGCTAAAAAAATAACATTTGACAACTCTGATGATGAAAACTGATGCATGTATTGCAAAAATTTATGGGGGCCTGCCGCAAAATTTGTAGAATTGATTGTAGAAACTGGTACACTACCTTTTATTCAATGATTTTCCGCCATATTTATTTATTTTTTAGTCATTTTTGTGACAGCAGCAATTGATCTGCATATGGATCATTCTACTGATGGAATGAAAAATGTAAAACCTTGTTTGCTAATTTTTATCAGTTTATCATCAAGCCTTTCTAGACTAGGGAATGCGTCCTTCTCTACGGTTAATTGAATTTGATCAATTAATCAAGGCCTAGCAGCTTTAGAGTCAGGACTATTAAACTTTTAATGAAGTATTCTTTCTAAGGAGTCCTCGATTTTTTCTTGTCTTTGTTGGAATTGAACTTTTGGAAAAGCTTGCTTTCTGATGAAGAGAAAGAAGTTTTATTAACAGTGGAACTTCCTGCAATCTTTTGTTATTTGTGGGCCTGAAAAACTTAGACTAACGGTAGCTATTTTCTTTTATATAAAAAAGGCCATAGTCTAAGAATTTGGTTGAAGCATTGGACCAACATTTCTCTATTAGCGAGGTTTGAAGACCAGAAATGAAATTGCATTTAACATGCAGAGTAGCTTCCTTTTAACGTGTTAATAGCTTTTAGAAAATAGTTTATGGAATGGCAAAGACTTGGAATTTGCATATGAAAGAAGCAAATGCACAGTGAAAACAAAATTTGATGTCATATGTGCAAAGTTTTCTTCTGGTCTAATTTGTCAAAGTAATGTTATCTACACGGTTCCAGGTCAAGAAAATGTCAAGCATTATGGCTGCTAATGGGCCGTTTTTCTTCATATAACAATGAAGATGCATCTTTCTTGCTTCTTATTTTTTGGATAAGTAAGATGCAGCTTTCATGCTTTTGATTGTCTTGTTCTGCACTCTGCTCTGAGTGCTGATGAAGTTAGTTTGAATAGTTTGAGAATTGTTACAGCGAATATTCTCTGCAATGAAAAATCCACTTTTGTGGCTGTTAAAGTTTGGTCCTTGGGAGCTCTTTAATAATTTTTGTTCAATTCAATTTGATTCTAGCAAGATAAGAAATAATATAATTCATTTAGTCTTTGAATTGCATCATTTTTTTTTTTTGGAAATATTAGTTTTTATATCAAAGAAAATGACTAAAAAACTAAAAATATATTATTTTCTACTCTTCTAATCCAAACTTGTTCTTTCTCAACAACTTCAGATAAGCTATTTTAATTGTCAAACTGCTAAAACACATTACAAAGTCTATGGTTATAATTGACTATCGATATATATGTCCATATCATCCAAACTCTTTCACTGGTTCTTGCTGCGTAATTGAGTGGGCGTCCATTTTCATTTTAATTTTATGAAATTTAAAATTACTCAAACTGGATAAAAAAATTTGCCAGATTTCCTCAAATGTCTAGTAATTGCCTAGCTGATCGATGTTATCAGATGATCATCGATATTTAATATTTACAAAAAGTTTGACAAACCCATCTTGGGAAGCTACCAAATTAACCTAAAAAACTTTTGGAAGTTGATTTATTTGATGGTGACAAATGTGAACCAGGAGTATTCATCACTTCATGGTAAGGTCGGGCAATTGCTATAACTTTTCTGGCAGGTTAAGAGGAAATTTTCCTGGTAATTAAATACGAAAGACCAAGTAGGAATGACAAGGAAATTCGACTTTGTAATTTGTGGATACTCGGACACTCTTACTGCTCAAGTAAAGAACTCATTTGACATGTTATTGCCCAGCAACCATCAGCAGTGACATGAGGTGACAGAGATAGGAAAGTGCAATGTGGATAACAAAATTATATAAGGGTGCCATTCGGGCCTTGTTCAAAGCCCCTTGAATTGAAAAGCTTTCTCTTTACAACAAAATTGGAGTTTCAAGTCAGCCCCAAGAAAGTAAAAGAGAAAAAGGTGAAGAAGAGTGCAATGAGTTTAGTACTCTAGTGGAGAGAAATGGCAGAGATTGCAGTGAACTTGGTACTGGAGAAGCTTGCAGCTTTCTTTGAAAAGGAGATGCAGATGCTGAGAGGGGGTCGGGAAGATGTTGCATATGTAAGGGGAGAAATGGAGCGCATTAAGGCCTTTTTGAGGATGGCAGATGCATTGGAGGATACGGATGATGAGGTGAAGATATGGGTTAAGCAATTAAGAGATGTGGCTCATGACATGGAGGACATTCTCGACGAATACATGCTTCTCCTTACACATAATCATGGAGAGGGTCTCTCTGGTTTTCTTCACAAGATGTCTTGCTGTGTTAGGAACATGAAAGCTCGTTATCGAATTGCTTCAGACATAAAAGGCATCAACTCGAGAATAAGAGACATTTGCAAAGGACACCGTCGACTTCGTCAGAAATTCTGTTCCGATGAAGGGTCAAGCTCCAATGGTGTAGGAAACACATGGCAGGACCGCCGAGGGGATGCCCTTCTTTTGGATAAAATTGATGTAGTTGGCATTGATGAGAGCAAAAAGAAGCTTATCGGATGGCTGGTGGATGGTGGCACAGATCGAAAGGTCATTTCACTAACAGGGATGGGAGGGTTGGGGAAAACGACCTTGGCAAAGCAAATCTATGATGATGCAGAAGTGAAGAAACATTTCCCCATACATGCTTGGATCACGGTTTCCCAATCTTTCAAGTTGGAGTGTCTCCTTAAAGACATGGTTCAACAACTCTCCAGAGTAATTAGTAAACCAGTCCCTGAAGGAGTGGATAGTATGAGCAGCTGTCAGCTCAAAACCTTAATTAAAAACTGGCTGCGGAAGAGAAGGTACCTAATTATTTTGGATGATGTATGGCGCATTAACGAGTGGGATGCTATCAAATTTGCCTTGCCTTCTAATAATTGTGGCAGTCGAGTGATGCTTACCACACGAAATGCTGACTTAGCCTTATCCTGCCGCATAGAATCTGAAGGTGAAGTGTACAATTTGAAGCCTTTGCCTCCTAAAGAGTCCTGGACGTTATTTTGTAGGAAAACTTTCGGTGGAAACTATTGCCCTCCCCATTTAGAGGAAATTTGCAAGCAAATCTTGAAGAAGTGTGAGGGACTGCCTCTTGCAATTGTTGCAATCAGTGGTGTTTTGGCTGCAAAAAACAAGCAAAGAATAGATGAATGGGAAATGGTTGGTCGTTGTCTTGGTGCTGAAATTGATGGCAATGATAAGCTTATGAATTTGAAGAAAGTACTGTCGCTCAGTTTCAATGATTTGCCATACTATCTAAAATCATGTTTCTTGTACTTGAGCATCTTTCCGGAGGATCGTCCGATTGACCTTACGAAACTGATACGGCTGTGGACAGCAGAGGGGTTTGTTGAAGTGAAACAAGGAAAGACACAAGAAGAAGTAGCAGAGGGTTTCTTTAATGAGCTCCTAAACAGAAGCTTGATCCAAGTAGCAGGGACAACCAGTGATGGTAGGGTCAAGTCATGCCGCATTCATGACCTTCTGCGAGAGATCATCATATTGAAGTCTAGAGAACAGAACTTTGCTGTCATAGCAAAAGAACAAAATGCAATGTGGCCCGACAAAGTTCGACGCCTGTCAATTCACAATACACTGCAAAATCTACCACAAAACAGGTTTGTTTCTCAACTGCGTTCTCTCTTCATGTTTGGGGTAGAAGACAATCCATGCTTGCATAAATTGTTTCCTGGAGGCTTTAGGCTACTTGCAGTGCTTGATTTGCAAGCTGCACCTCTAACAAAGTTTCCAATTGATGTTGTCAACATGTATTATTTAAAGTATTTGAGCTTAAGGGGAACCAAGGTGACAGTTGTTCCAAGGTTTATAGGGAAGCTTCAGAGCCTTGAAACCTTAGATCTTAAACATTCCGACGTTACGGAATTGCCAGTTGAGGTCCTACAGCTCCAACGCCTTCGCCATCTTCTAGTCTACCGGTACGAGTTTGAGTCTTATGATTACTTCCACTCAAAATATGGGTTTAAAGCTCTAGAGAAAATAGGAGACTTGCAATCCCTTCAAAAGCTGTGTTTTGTAGAGGTAGACCTAGAAAATGGCATATTGGTAGAGTTGGGGAGACTCGCTCAGTTGAGGAGACTAGGCATTACAAAGTTGAGGAGGGAAGATGGGAAGAAATTGTGCTTGTCTATCGAAAAGCTGACGCATCTTCGTGCTTTATCTGTTATATCAATAGAAGAAGATGAGATCATCGATATTCAACACCTTATTTCTCCTCCTCCATTGCTTCAGCGGCTGTACTTGAGAGGCAGATTGGAGACCATGCCACATTGGATCCGTTATCTTCATAGCCTGGAGAAATTATACCTAAAATGGAGCGGCTTAATGGAAGATCCATTCGCATCTCTTCAAAATCTTCCGAATCTTGTTCATCTTGAATTAGTACAGGTTTATGAAGGAGACACACTCTGCTTCAAGGCTGGAGGATTTAAAAAGCTGAAGCGTCTCGGTCTTGATAACTTTGACGAACTCAAATGGGTGCAGATCCAGGAGGGGGCAATGCCTTGTCTAGAAAAGCTAAGCATTCAGCGATGTAAATCCATGGAGAAGGTACCCCTGGGTATTGAACATATGACAAAGCTGAATGTGCTTGAATTTTTTGACATGCCTCATGAATTAATCAGGTCCCTTCGCCAGGATGAACACGGTGAAGATTACTGGAGAGTTGCTCACATCCCTGAGGTATACTCTACTTACTGGAGGGATGGAGCTTGGGAGGTCTATTCCCTGGAGAGTTTTATTGAAGGAGAGAGCTCTCCTTGCCCCAACACTGTCATAAGTAGCCAGGATCTTCAGGCACGTTGGAAATGAAACCTCTCTTTGCACCATTGATTTTGTATATAGTTAGCACTAAATTAAATGTTCATTGTATATTATTGCATTTGTGAATCATTGTAAAAATAGTCACTTTTAGCTCTAACTTGCATAAATATGTGTAAAGAAATGAATATAGCTGTAAAAGTACTTTCTTTGTGAAAAAAATAAAACAAAGAAAAAGACACTGTAAGGATGTGACTGTATGTAATAGCAAGTCAGTTTTAACTTCGAGCCTTTGATGCATGGTTCTTCTTAGTCTTAAGCTTTTTGCTTTGGTGGGTGAATGTGTGTTTGTCTCTTTTTTGGTTCAAGGGGAGGGTATAGCAAGTAAACGAAAAGAGACTAATAAGTGAATGATTTAATAATCGGTTGAGATCATTTTATCCGATGAAAAAGTTTTGAATTCGAATCTTGTTGGTGATCATTTATTAAAATCATTTCGTATGCATGATTTATGATCATATGTTTTAAGTTGTAAGGTACAATACATTTTATTTTGATTTGAAAATTTACAATCGTCTAAGACTATCAAGTACGATATATTTTATTCTAACTTAAAAATTGAATAACTTACCGATTTTCAAATTTTTCTTAAAAAAAAATAAAAAAAAGAGATTCTCACTCAGAAATCAAGATCACAATATCATCACAAAATCTCTTCAGTCATTAGATTAAAATTCTGACATCATAAGACTTCTTTTTCAAACTATGAAGTGAATTTTTTTGTCCAAAAGATACCATCCTTCTTATTCATGATGTAAATTTCTGGCCCTTTTGTGCAGTTTAATTTTCATTGAATTTGATATGTTTTGTGATTTATGGGCTTACTTAAGCAGAATTGAGGTTGGGCTTCTTTTATGTTCCTTCATTTAAATGACAGGCTTGAGAACAGGGAAGCCCATTGCCAATGGATGTTTGGTTCTTTTAGAAGATGCAATGGACAATTAATGGCCCACGAACCCGTCAAAGCGAAGCAAGTGGATCTCCGCCTGTTGGTTTGATTTTCTCAAATTGCCCAAAAGCCTTTGCCGGAAAATGGAAATTGTTCATCATAGTAATTGTAATTGATAAATAATAATATGGAAAAAGACATGTTAATTAATCAAACTAATTTAATTTGATTAATTAATTAATAATTAAACTAATTTCGATAGGTTATTAAAAATAATTTAGAAATTTTTTTTATTTTAAATTAATTCAGATTCTAAATTTAGTTAATCAAAATTTTAATTGAAATATAACAAAACCTATATATAAAACTAAAAATAGATGAAATTAATTATTTTATTTTAAATTATTAAAGTTTTTAATTTAATATTTTGATATTTCAATATTTTTATTAAATTATTTTATTTTATTTATTTAATTGTTTCAAATATAAGACATTAAAAATTTTAAATACAATATAATTTAATTAATTTTTAAAATTAAAAAATTAATTCAATTAAAAAAAATAAAATAAAATAATTTAATTTAAAATAATTTAATTTAAAATTAATCAATCACTCTTAACACCTCAAAACAAGAGGACTTCAAAACTCTAAAACATGTCAAATGCCAATACATACATATACACAGGAACATGACAGAGTTTAGATTCTTTCAGCGATTTCTTCCCCCTTTTTTTTTTTTTTTTTTTTTTTAATTTACAAGTTCTTCTGCTTTGCTTGAAGAATGGGCAAGTTGACCAAATGAATTTTCATTTTAAAAAAAATCTGATCCATATCCTGTTAATTATCACTTTTTTTCTCAAAATTTTAACCGTAGAAGTTAAAACGGAATGTCTAACTTAAAATCAATAAATAAAAAGATTTAATTTAAAATTAGTAATTTTTTTTATTTTTATTTACACATGATGTAGATTTATTAAAATAAATTATCATATATCTAATAAATTTTTAATTTTTTATAATATTATATTTAAGTTGAATCTTTCAATTTTTAATCAATTGATTTAATTTATCACAAGTAAATTTTTTTTATTTTTATTTATACATGATAAAAATTTAATAAAGTGAGTTATTTTATATTTAATAAAATTTTAATTTTTTATAATTTTATATTTAAATTAAATTTTTTTATTTTAATTAATTAATTTTAAATTAAATACTAAACATTTACGAAAACTTAAGTGATAAACAAAGAGACGTTCATTATTATATAAAAGTTAGAATTGAGTTTGGAACTGATCTAGAACTAGATTTGGTATTAATGAAAGTTAAATTAATGTTAGTATTTTGTATACAAAATTAAAAAATATTATTGTGATTATCGGATTGTCATTTCCTGAATAAGAAAAGCTATAATTTTGGTTTTGTATATTTAATCATTAGGTTTACGATTCTATCAAAAAAAAAAAAAAAAAAAAAAAACCATTAGGTTTGTGACCATGAAAGGTAACGTAAATTGGGAAATGTTGACAAAGAAAAATATACTGTTATCACAAGTTAGTTCACTACTGTTCCAAGTCAGACGTTTTAAGATTTTTTCTTAAATTCATTTTTAATACCAAGCCCGCATGACAGATAAGACACAGGTAGCTATCATTGAATATTGTGGCTTATTAAAATTTTGAAAGGACGTGAGCCAGTGACAGACTGACAGCAATGGCATTTTCTTCTTTGTATTTTAGATTTGAAAATTACGTGTATATCGTTTTGGCTAAGGAGATTTTACTTGTCAGAGTTGGTGGGCAGGTTAAGCAAAGCGCCGAATAAATCTTGTATGCGAAGTTTCTGAGTTGTTTTCCGAGAAAAATTTGCTAACATGTTGATGCCAACGGGAAAGATTTATATAAAAATTTTTAAATAAAATTTATGAAATTTTTTATTAAAAACAATTAAATTAAAACTAAAATTAAAAATAAAAAATTTTATTATATAAATTATGTAAAATTAAAAAAAAATAAATTTTAATATATATTTTTAAATAAATGTTTTTAATAAAAATATAACAAAATTTTTAATATTAAATAAATATTAATCGAATATAAATTATAAATTATTTTTTAAATTATTTTTTAACATATTATTGATTTTTATATTAAATTTTATTAATTTGTTAATTTACATTTTTATTATAATTTTTTGTTAAATTATTTTTTAAAAAAAATTATAAATTTCACTTAAATAATTTTATGTAAATTTTGTGCCGATGTCAACATAATATTGCCAGCCATTAATGGATAAAATAATAGGAGCAACGAGAGGAGGATTTGGACAACCAAATTGGATGGGACCCGACCTGAATGAGATAAAGCTATAAAGGTTATTAGTGAAAAAAAATAAAACAAAAAAACAAAAGTGGACAAAATAGAGAAAGATGAAAGTTAATAACCCCAAAGCCCCAGGCCGCAGACTTAACCAAATTTTAGGTTTGGGCCAATTAACGCATGGAGCGGTCCCATTAACCAATGAGTGAAGAAGATATTGGCCGATCGATAAGTGAGTGGTCGGCTGGTTGCTGAACCTTTTATGTTCCTTTCCTAGCCGGCCTATCTGCATTGAATTGTACCACACAAGCAATGGATAGAGCAAAAAATCAAGGATTTGAGTGGATGCGTAACTATTTCTCAATTCTCAGTATCTGCAACGAAATTGGCAGTAACGTCCGAAATCGATACACGAAAACAAATGGTCCAAGCATGCCTATAGGTTTGAATATCTATAAATATATATATATATATATATTTTTTCCTTGGTGTAGAAGTCACCGTCAATTGACGATTTCAATGACGTGAACAAACCAGATGCCAAGTCAAACTTTTCCTATAAATTACAGGGTTTTGAGCTCATAAAAAACACGATTGACCGATGCCTTTTTTTTGCTTTTTTCCGAAGGCGCAAAAACTAATCTATACAAATTGACAATGGCCGAAATTGCAGTGTCCTTTCTTCTTGAAAAACTCGCATCTTTTCTGCAGAATGAGGTTGAACTTTTGCGAGGGATTCCAGAAGATTTGGAGTACATCAAGGACGAGTTGCAGAGCATGAAGGCAGTCCTGAGAGTAGCAGACTCGGTGGGGGAGAGTAACCAAGAACTCAAGTTCTGGGTTCGGCAAGTAAGAGAGGTCGCTTACGACACAGAAGATATCCTGGATGAATACAGGCTTGACGTTGTCAATGATCATACGCAAGGGATTGGTGCTGTTCTATACAATGTTTGGTGCTTTACAAAAAATTTGAAAGCTCAGCACGGGATTGTTTCCAAGATACGTGGCATCAAATCCAGAATCAGCAACATATCTGCCAGGCGTCCAAACTATGACAACAATGGTACAAATGAGCAAGGCCCAAGCTCCACTGCTGCAGTTAATCCATGGCTGGACAGAAGAGGGGATGCCCTCCTTCTAGACAGCGTTGACTTGGTAGGTATTGACGAGCCCAAAACGCAACTGATCAATTGGTTGGTTGAGGGAAACTCTGGGCGCAAGGTGGTTTCAGTGGTTGGGATGGGAGGTTCGGGCAAAACTACCTTGGTGAAGCAAGTCTATGACAATGCAAAGGTGAAGAAACATTTTGCTGTACATGTTTGGTTTACTATATCTCATCCTCTCAAGATTGAGGAGCTCCTAAGAAATATGGTACGGCATCTCTTTGATGCAATCAGGAGGCCAGTTCCTCAAGGTGTGGATGACATGGATGCGACTTTGCTGAAAATGGTAATCAAGGCCTTCCTGCAGCAAAGAAGGTACTTGATTGTTTTAGATGATGTATGGCACATTAATGAGTGGGCAGTGGTAGATTACGCATTAGCTAACAATGGTCGTGGCAGTCGTGTGTTGCTCACAACGCGAAATTCTGAAGTAGCATCTACGTCCTGCATAGAATCTGAAGATAAGGCCTTCTATGTAAAGCCCTTATCTCCGGACGAGTCCTGGGATCTTTTCTGTAAGAAATGTTTCCGGCGGAGCCCATGTCCTCCTGAATTGGAGAAACATTCTAGACGTATTTTGGAGAAGTGTGAGGGACTGCCACTTGCAATTGTAGCCATCAGTGGTGTTTTGGCTACAAAAAGACGTACAGTCGCCGAATGGGAGACTGTTTATCGCAGCCTTGGTGCTGAAATTGAGGACAACAGCAAACTCATCAATTTCAAAGAAGTGCTTTTGCTGAGTTTTAATGATTTGCCATACCACTTGAAATCTTGTTTCTTGTATTTATGTCTCTTCCCTGAGTACCATCTGATTGAGAAAATGAGACTGATTAGATTGTGGATAGCTGAAGGGTTTGTTGAAGTCAAAGAAGGAAAGACACAAGAAGAAGTTGCTGAGGACTACCTTGATGAGCTCCTGAATAGAAGCATGATACAAGTAGCAGGGACAGCAAATGATGGTAGGGTCAGAACATGCCGCATTCACGACCTCCTGCGAGAAATCATCATTTCAAATGCTAGGGATCAGAACTTTGTTGCAGTAGTTAAAGACCAAAACGCAACATGGTCTGACAAGGTTCGTCGCCTGGCAATGCATAATACATTCCCAAATGCACAACATGATAAGAATGTTTCTCATTTACGCTCCTTGTTCATGTTTGGGATGGGCGATCCACTTTCCTGTTCATCGACAAATACATTATTGATTCCTAATACCTGTAGGCTGCTTAAGGTGTTAGACTTGCGAGGTGTACCTATACAGACATTTCCGGAGGAAGTTATTAACTTGAGACTTTTGAGGTATCTTAGCTTGAGAGATACCAAAATCAAGACAATTCCAAGCTCTATAGGGAAGCTTCAGGACTTGGAGACATTGGATCTTAAACATTCCCAAGTTGCTGAATTGCCAGTTGAGATCCTGAAGCTCCGACGACTTCGTCATCTTCTGGTATATCGTTATGAGTTCACCTCGTATTCACGCTTTCACTCCAAATATGGTTTTAAGGCTTTGTCAGGTATAGGGACTCTACAATCCCTTCAAAAACTCTGTTTTATGGAGGTAAACCATGATAATGCACTTATTATAGAGCTAGGAAAATTAACGCAACTTCGAAGACTCGGCATTGCAAACTTGAGAAAAGAAGATGGAAGGCTTTTGTGCTCATCCATTGAAAAGCTGATCAATCTTCGTGCATTGTCTATCGTTTCATCAGTGAAGGATGGGTTCATTGATCTGCAATGTCTTTCTTCTCCGCCTGAATTTCTTCAAAGGCTATACTTATATGGGCGATTAGAAAAGTTACCAGAATGGATACCTTCTCTTGAAAGCCTGGCGGTAGTATATCTTAAATGGAGCAGGCTGCCAGATGATGCATTTGAATCTCTTCAAAACTTGCCCAATCTTATTCATCTTGAACTGCTGCAAGCTACGGAAGGAGACACTTTAAGTTTTAAGGCTGGCGGTTTTAAGAAGCTTGAACATCTAGGCATAGATAAGTTTGAAGGACTCAAGTACATAGAAGTGGAAAAAGGAGCAATGCCTTGTCTTGAAAATCTCAGCATCCAACGTTGTAAATTGCTGGAGAGGGTGCCATTAGGGATTGAATATCTGACCAAGTTAAAAGTGCTTGAATTTTTCGATATGCCCGAGGAATTGATTATGAACCTTCGTCCTGATGCACAAGGTGGAGATTATTCAAAAGTTGCAAACATTCCAGAAGTTTATTATACCTACTGGAGAAATGGAGAATGGGAGGTCTATCCTATAGATTCAGGTGAGAAAGAGCACAACACTAACAATATTAACGAAAAGCTTCAAAATCGTTTTAAATAATTTCTTGATAGCCAGTTTGTAACTCCTCATTTCTGTTTGTTTATGTAAAATTTTGGGTATAATGTAGATTACAGACTTATTCCTGTCTTTGCCAATTGTCTTGGTAAGATGATATATTGTTGTCATCATGGCTTGGTATGATGCATTGTATTTGAAACCAACTCAAAGATGAAAAATTGATGACGATTGTATGAAGTTAAGAATCAGCTAATTGTGCTTCAAAATTGATGAGATAAGGCATATAGAGATCTGACGCCTCATTTCCAGTTTCCAACGCTGCCAAAACCTTGGTTGCTTTCTCTGTGAAAAATGCCATAATTGGAAAGGAGCTATGTATCAGACAATTTACAGATTCTAATTTTTACTGCACCACGAGCCAGTTATTCTCCTAGATAAGTAGAAATCCTGCTCTTGAATATTCGTCCCAAGTCAACAATTTCAAGTTGTCTCATCTGCTTAGTTATGCTGTCAATTTGCCTTAGTTTCCGTTCATCTCTGGACAACCTGTTGGAAACATCAACCGTTAAACTGACCATATCCCTGCTGTTGTTTAACAATCTCAAGACAGTGGCATAACGTCCTGCATGCAAAAAGGACCTATAAGATGAGCAAACAGTGTTTAAGATAGAGAAAACATAAAAGTAGAACACCAAAGATTTTCAGTGCTGATGGCAGAGAGTTAAAGAGTGCGACTCAAAGTTGGGGAATAATTTCCTTATTTTTAATGAAAACAAAGGGCTTAATTTGAAACAAAAGTTCCAACTAAATAAATATGTAATAATAATACCAAATAAATCCGTAACTGACCATGCCATTGCTACCTTATTAGAGTCGATGCAACGGAAGCATCATTTAAGTTTGGGAAAATGTAAACAGGGCATTGAATGCAGGCAATTCCAAGCATCATAAAACAATGAAAGTAACATCAACCATCAGGCACAAACACATCCAGAGCCATCACTTACCTTTCTCTAAAGGTTTCACCTGACTCAGCATCCACGGCTGCTTCTAAGTCTTTAAATCTATCTCTGATGCCAATAATTGCAGAATCAGTGTCAGAAAATTTGCTTCTCTGGATAGCTTGTCATTCACTAGTATTTCAAAGCCGGATTTTCCAGATGAGGTCAACAGAGAGAGAGAGAGAGAGAGAGAGAGAGAACAATTCTACTCATAAGTTTGCAGTCCTCGAACCATGTAAAAGTAAGCTGATGCTCCTTGTTTCTCTCTTCTTAAGTTCTGAACACTCATGGTCCTAAATGGATAAAAAGAAACACCTATAGCATGCAAAAATTATTCACCTCAATGGCCTCCCTAAAACCCAATCCCAAACAAGTTAAGACTTTACCAGACAAAATTTCCACCAATACTTTATTTCATCGGTATTGTAACAATTGCTTCTAGATTTATGATATTTGGCATGCGCACAAATTCGGATCATATTCACTCAAAATATCAATAATGAAATACACGTACCAGGTCCGCAAGCTGCTTTGAAACGCGTCCCAGCTCCTTCTGCAAAAATATGAAGTAAAATATATGTAGAAGAAAATTAAAGGAAGAAAACAGTGTGATCAAGAAGAAAAGGTTTCAGTTAAGAAAAGGAAAAGGAAAATTTTAAATAATTAAAAAATAGAGTGAAAATTGAAAGATATAGAAAAGAAAAATATAAATGAAAAAGTATTAAGTATAAAAAATAATATTTCAACATTTAAAAAGAAGTAAACATAATAGGAGGATATATGAAAGAAAAGTTTGGAGGAACGAATAAATGAAAGGAAAAGTAAAAGAAAGAGAGAAGAGAGGTTAAAAGAACAAGAAGTATACAAAAAAAAAAAAAAGTGAAAGAATAAAATATGAAAGCTAAAGAATGGAAAGAATAAAGAGAAGAAGAAGAAAATACAAGTGGAGAACAGAAAGAAAATAAAGAAACTCATGGCAATAATGTTAAATTTTCTTTTAATATTTAATATTATATATATGTGCACTCTGTATCAGTTGTCTAAAGAAAGAAAGCAAATATAAATAAAATTAATGAATTTTGAGTAACAAGTAAATGAAATACAATATTTTTCCAATAGCAATAATGAATGAGATTGATAATTAATCTGTAAGTGAATTCATGTATCATGCCATGTCTGGCAAGTTCTTGAATTCAATTGCAATTTTTCAAGGTTGGTTCAACATCCACACTACACTTGCATCTTATGGGTAGAATGTGATTCGAGGGCATTTGAATTTCTCCAAATAGTTCAGTTATGGAAATTATGACTGAAGTTCTTTCCAGTTCCTCTTTATATAAGACAAAGTACTTGAAACGTAAATCTTCACCTTTCACTTCTTGTTAACCATCGAACTTTCACCCAGGTTACTGATCAGTCCTCCACGACTAATATAGAGACGCTTGAGGCGTGTAAAATTTTCGGGGAATAACCAAGTTGGTGGTTGGGAAACAATTGGAGGTCCACTTTTACTAGGCTTTTGTTGCCCCTCGTTTTACCGTTTCACTTCCCTGTTTCCATGCTATTTTCAATTTCTGAAGCGCCATAAACTTGAAGAGAACGTCTCCCTCTTCATTTGTTTAGAAATTGTCATTGTTCACTTTGACACTGAGTTTCTCCAGATTATGAAATGCTGCCAAGTCGTCAAGAACTCAAGAGTGCATCTTTTCACGCAGGTTGGCCATGCGTAATTTCAGGTTTGATCATAGCTCCGTTGCATCTTTTCACTTCATATATATGATACTGCTCACTGCTGTTTAGCTTGTGTTCTACTTCTATCATTACTTTAAATATAAATGCTTGTTTGAGTTAGTTTCTTTTGTTCTGATTCATGACAGAAATACAAAGTGGTGGACATGGATCTAATTGAGGACCAACTTAGAGGACAGCCAGCTAGGTTTGATCATGTGGAACATGGACGTGTGAATCCCTGGTAATTTGGACTGATTTGTTCCAGTAGAAAGAGCAAAGAGAGACATGGATTGAATGCAGAGAGACGGATTTGTCATCTTTAGATCTTTCAGAGAATCCACACCAAAGCAAGCAGGATTGAGAAAAATGATTCCTATAATCAATCCTAATTCGTTCGGATAATTAAGGCTTAATTGAGTTAAATTAGCTTTTATTTCATGCCTAATGATTGTGGGGTTGGAAGTTAGAACTGATGTTCGAACCGCACTAGAAAATTCTCTTCAAAAAGTGTACTTACCCCCGCTAATAATGAATTTAAAATTAATTTTTAAAGAGAAAATCAGTTTAGAAAGAAGAGATGATGTTCACGCATGTTAACAGCGCGTATAAGTCGTTGAAGTTCCCAGCTAGATAGGTTGTGAGTGGGACTCCACAGCAACGTTACTGTCTCTCAAAGCCAGCCAACCATTGGAACCAACCTCCGGGCTTTGCCGACCATTTTGGTAAGTTTTGTGTTGTGATCTCACTCAACTCAACAGTTTGGAAACTCCACTTGCCAGTTGCCTCTTTCTTGTCCTCTTTTACATGGATTCTCTAAAATGTCCTTCCTTTTCTTTTCTTCATTAACAGCTTGTCTTCTTTGACTCCCACATAGAGTAAAAAATTGAAAACCAACAAATAGTAGTAGTAAATGCTTTTTCGAGTTGTTTTCCGCATTAAAAAGAACTAAAAAAAAAAAAGACAGAATCTAAACAGACAAAACCCATTACGCAAAGCAAACTAAAACTAAGCTAAGCCTAACCGAAAGCCCCCAACCTTCTCATCTTCTCCCTCTTTCTCTCTCTTTATACTTAGCTGTAGAGAGATAAACCGTAACATCAGAATTTGTGTTTGCAGTAAATAACTCTGGTTCTCAGTTGACTATTTTATTATCTAGAAAGAATCTAAGATCGGAGGGCCCTTTTGTCTGAATTAGAGTTCCAATAAGGAAAAACATGGTTGGTATTTTTTCCAGATTTTCTGTTGGAAAGACTGGCCATCGACGTTCCCAGAGTGCTCTTGTAAGAATCCTTTTTCTGTTTCTTTTCTTAGAGATTTATTTGTGTGGAATCTGTAACATGTGAATCTAAATTTTTATTTTTTGTATGTTTTGTTGGGTCTTTTTTTTGGATTAGTTGATTGATTTTTCTTTGTTGACCTGTTTATAAGGTCTGATTTTGAATCGTCTTTAGTTTCTTGTTTCCTATGCTTTGATTTGGTCGAAATATTTGTTTTCAGAAGTTTGCCGTTAAGCATATTCTTGTTTATGTTGGAATTGGTTGATGTACTTTGGGATATCATGCCATTATCTTGTGATCTGACTATCAATATGCTTTGAACTTTCACCATTTCTTTTTCAAATAGGTAATTTAGTTGCCTTAATTCTAAACCCGGATTTCCTGATTAATAATCTATTTTATTTGATAGTGTATGAAATTATAGATGCTGGTTTATCCTTGTATGCTTTTGGGTTGTTGTTTCTTTGGATATTCAATTCAGAGTCCCTTTTAGACAAAGGTCTGCTATTGCAGTCGGAATTCATGTTGCCTGAATTTCTTGTTTTTGCACAATTATTGTGTTGAAACTTGTTTCCGTCCAAGTACCCTGCTTCTACTACTACTAGTATTAACCCTGAATTGTTTTTCCCACTTTCTTTTCCTCTCATTAGTATGCTTAAGCTTTCCAAACCTTGATGTTTGTTTTTGTTTTTGCTTTTGCACTTCTAATGGGATTTGAGTTGTTAACTTCTCGTTGCATACGACAAATGAGTTCCTATTTGTGGTGCAGGAAGAAAGGGAAGTTTTGCCCCCAAATTCCGATGTTGCAGGTACAGCTGCTGCTGCTACTGCTACCGCTCATGGAATTGAAGTAGCAGTTGAGTTTAAGCCAGTCGAACATCCAATTGAGCCTTTGGACAATGACCGACCAATTCAATGCCCCCTACCTGAACCTTCAATTCTAAATGTTAGCCTCTGAAACTTGTCTTTTGTTTCTAGGTTCATAACCGTGTTCTTTACAACAGATTGCACTAGTTTAGGAAATAAAGTTATGAGATAATTGAACTTTATTCTCAATTCATATCAAAATATGGCTTAAATACCTATTAATGTAACTGCTATAGATGGCGACACGAGGAAAATGGTTCTTTTGGACTGCATCTTAAGGTAGGGGTTACTATTATGTAGTCCTATGATAAAAGAAGCTTATTCCAGTTAATGAGATTCATATTCTTCATAGGTTATTATTTTCTGGTATGATTGGTTGTATAATGAAGTGACCATGTTGGTTCTCAAAGCTAATGATTGTTGACATGTTCATTCATTTTTCATGTTGGTGGTCTGGAATTGTACAAACCATTTCTTATGAACTTATCATTAATTGTCAGGGTTTTAAATTAGTTTCATTTCCTGTGTCAACAGGATGGAAGAATCTGGAAGGAACGAGTATCAGCCAACGCAAGAAGGAGAGCTGACTTGCCCGTTATGAAGGATGGAGGCACCCTTGAATCCGAAGCTACTGGAATGAAAACCCGACCAACCCACTCTAATCGCATGATTTTACCATCTATAAGTGCCCCAGAACATGATTTATTAAATCTCCTCAAAGAATGTAATGCATCTGGGATCTGAAGCCTGGTATTAAATCTTGGTTAGAGTTCAACTTGGAATAATTTGCATACATAAGTTCAAAGTGTATTTTATTTTTTTGCCACCTGTTTGGTTGAAAATATAGATCATGGAATGGAAATGTTAACCTCTCACGTATATATATCTAATAAATCATATCCAAGTTTAAATCCATCTCATCCATATTTTTACTGGATGAAATCTTGATCATTTGTTTTAACACCTTAGCTATGGATTTATTGGGACTGACTGCTATTCTATAACAGCAATATAATTAAAGACAAAAAAAGGCTGAGAAACTATTACTTAATGTAACAACAGTTGACAGGAAACCATACGGGCTCCTGGAGAAGGCTGAAGTCGGTGCTTAACAATTGGGTTGAGAAGGTGGTTCTGACTTGTAAATGCCACGAAAGCGTCCATGATTCATCCGCTGCTCCCTCTGCTGCATCTAATGTGACTTTGCAACATGATTGTCTTGAACAAGTACACCAACTCCGGTGGCAGTGGCTGGATGGGTCGTTGTTGTCAAAACAAGGCATTGAATCTCAGCTTTGGGCAAAAAAGGGCCAAATAATATAAATCATTGCGCTTGGACAAAATCTTTGTTGGACCATTTTCTGGCTTTCTCGAAAAGCTCCAAATAGAAAATATCATAACAAAATCTGGGGCCTCAATTTCAAGAACATAGACACAGCAACATTAAAAATGCAGTAATTCAAATAATTTAAATAAATAAATTCCACAAAAAACTATATCTATGTAACAAATATTTGTATTTTATTCTAAATGTATCAAAATCTAAAACAAAATAACAATTTTAGTTTGATAAAGAAACACTCTCGTGTACTCTATATTTATAATCGAAATTTTTTATTTTTACTTCATTTTTGGTCGTTCCAAATAATGAACCTTTCTGCCTTTATAGAGTTTAGATTGCCTTGGCTGGTAAACAACTGTAAAATTAAGGCCAACATCTGCTACTAGTCAATGAAATAGTAGTAAAAAAAAACAAAAAACAAAAGCAATAGATTTATTATTGACATTTTCATGCTACTACATCTTATTTCTTAGCTTTGGGTTTTATTTTCTTTACATAAAAGGATCATATTCCTATCCTCCCCAATATAAACAAAGAAAGAAGCATAAAATCCATGATTGGAAAGAAAAAAAATTGTTTTTTAATAATTAATTTATATAATTAATTTTAAAATATTACATTTAATAGATAACGGATTTAAAGTTTAGCATACATAATTTTTTTTTATTTTTAAATTGTGATTTATTTTATTAAAAAAACTACATATTATTTGGATTGGATGGTTCACTCATATGAATCAAATTCTAGACCTTAAAAAACATTAAGGGGAAAACAAAGGAAAAAAAAAAAGCAGATGTAACCATTTAAGTGAAAAAAGAAAAAAAAAAACAATGGTAATTTATTGAAAGGGCAGATAGTTATTATTAAAAGACGTGTGCAACTAGCCAAACACTGAAACCCGGAAAAAGCCCATTCTGAACCAAGCTCTTACGTGACCCGATCCAGTTTTAGGATTTTAATTTTACTAACACTACACAACAATCCGACCCGAAATATTATTTTCCTTTTCTCGGGTTCCGCTATTGCTTTCTTTGAGCTCAAGACAAGAAAACAAAGCTTTTTTTTTTTTTTTTTCTCTTTCTTTTTTCTGAATTCATATATAAGAAAAAAACCTCTTAATGCTTCAGCTTCGCTTTCTTTCGACTTTGTGGAGCTTAATCGGGATCGATGGCGGCGTTGCAATACCTAGAGTCTCTTCGAAATGAGCGTCCAGAGCTAGCCGACTGGTACAATTCTCTTGCAGATCTATATCAGAAGAAGCTCTGGCATCAGCTCACTCTCAAGCTTGAGCAATTCGTTGCTCTCACCGTCGTTCAGGTGTCTCTCTTTCTCTATATTCCATGTTGTTTGGTTTTAGGGTTAGTAGATCTCCATATTAGGGTTTTAAGATTTTAGGGTTAGGGTTTCTTTTAATGTAGTTGATTACTTTTTTTATTTCTTTTTGTCTTTAATTGAGTTTGAGGAGTTAGGGTTTTGTTGTAGAATTGGGATTCCATCTGGGGGATTTATTAGGGTTTTTAATAGGGTTTTTAACTCTGCTCTATCATTATCTTTTTCATTTTTATTTTGTTTTAAATTGAAAAGAAATAAATAAGATGTTCATTGCTTTGATGTTCAAAAACTCAAAGATGATTAAAGAAAGTAAGTTGGGTTTTGCCTTTTATTTATTTTTATTGTAATGTTTTTGGTCATAGAAGAGTGTTATGAAATAGCAACTGTTGTTAACTTGTGAAATTTGGTGAAAGAAATCTTCTGGTTTGCATGAGCTGCAATGCAGGGGGGAACTTAGCTAAAGCGTGTGAATTATGAAACATTAGGTTCTAAAGCTTTGGCATGTTTATTTTAGGACATAATTCTTTTCATAACTGTAAAATGGAAAGTGTTAGGACTAGGAGCGAACTATAAATGTTACATTCTTTTACCCCACTTGTTTTTGTACAGTAAATTTGGTTGCCTATTGTTCTCTTGGGTTATTCAGTGTATCTTTTTTGGTTAATAATTAGTCTGGAGTGTGGTTTAGTTAATGGTTTTCATTTTAGTAGAGTTGGCTTTATATTTGTTTGTATGGATTCATACATACATAAGTAAATATTTTAGCAAAAACTAAGTGTAGCCCATGCGCTAGATCTTGGCCAGGTCATCTTGCCTCCTATAATACTTGTTTCTCTTAAATACCAGGCTGGAGATGCACTGATACAGTTGTATCATAATTTTATCACTGACTTCGAGACCAAGATTAATCTTCTCAAGCTTGCACATTTTGCTGTTATAGTTTCTCGGCAGTACTCAGAGAAAGAAGCTGCTATTAGTTATCTTGATGGGGTGGTTGAAAAGCTTCAGGCTACTAGAGAGATGCGCATAGAAGAGCCAATTCTTTATATTAAGATGCAAATTGCCAAATTCAAGCTTGATCAGGGTGACCAAAAGGAGTGCAAGAAACTTCTTGAAGATGGAAAGAGTACTCTTGACAGTATGACTGACATAGATCCAACTGTATATGCTAGCTATTATTGGGTTTCATCTGAATACCATAAATTTCGCCAAGAATTTGCTGAGTTTTATAGAAGTGCTCTCCTTTATCTTGCATACGCATCAGTGGAGTCTCTCTCAGAATCTTTTAAGCTGGTATGGTTTTATAGGTTTATGCGTTTTCTGCCCCTTCAATTGTACTATCTTGTGATATTACATGGATGAATCGAGTTGCCAGGCATACACTTGATAATAAAACCTGCACAAAAATGGCATATGTCAGTTTGGAAGATAATGCTGATTGTGAGATGGGTGATATGCGTAGGTATTCTTTTTGCTATCTGGAAGGCTTAGGTCGTACTTCCTCTTACACCCCAGTCATAAAAAATAGATGGATAAATAAATAAACTAAATAAAGAAAGGTTAGTGCTTTTATTTGTTTGGCAGATTTGTTTATCCTTTGACTTCATTTTATATATATAGGATTTGGCATTTGATCTGTCCCTTTCTGCTCTTTTGGGAGATAACATCTACAACTTTGGAGAACTGCTTGCTCATCCTATTGTAAGAACATCTTTATCATGTTTATTAATTTCACTATATATTGGATCTGAATTATTTTTACAGGCAAAATAGTTTCATGCCATGACTATTGCTTATGCCCTCATTTGATTCAAATTATATTCATGATTGTTGTTGTTGTTTTTTTTTTTTTTTTTTTTTTTAATTAGTGAGTTTAGCCTGTATAAATTAACTTTTAATGGCTGATACTGCAGGTTGCCTGATACAATAGTTCATTGAGGCATATTGCTGGTTTTTCTTGTAAAATCTGATTTTAGTTCTAATCTAGTTTGGGTTGTTAATAAAGCTTTTGTTAGATTAAGAAAGTAAATCATTATGGTGTCAGTGGAGAGCTCATCAAAGCTGTTGTGGAGATGATCAATGTAGTGCTTGATCAAGAAAATGTAGGAACACTAGGTAAGGGATGTAGATGAGTAATAACAAGGAGAATTGATTAACTTAATTGATTTACTCTGTAAACATGTTTCAACCTGAAAGTTGAAAGCTTCTAAGGGATCGAAACAATTCAATGCGTCATGACTTGAGAATAAAAGTAAATTTACTTATGCTACAAACAAAATGTTTGTTAGGTAGAGCAACCTTGCTGTCTATTAGTAAACAATCTGGTATCAGTGAATATCTTTGGTTTGATGTTGATTCAAATGTTAAAAAGCATAAGCAAACAGACAAGAAACATTTTTCTCTGTAATTATGTGCAATTGCTAGTACATAATATGTGCTTTTAATTGCACAAAAATAAGGCTAATAGGACAAGTATGAGATGTTCAGGTTAGATATATGTGGAGGTTCAAAGGTGACTAATTAATGATAGAATAGTGGCATCTGATAAAAGTTTCTTTTCATTTGGTATTTTCTTTTATGCTATTGCAGTTACATGCATTCATACTTATTTATCATTGCGGAGTGTTGATATGAAAGGTTACTCTAGTGTTAAAGGTTTTGTTCCTTCTGAATTTCTTTGCTTTAATGTTTTTACACCTGTTATGTTTGAGATGATGACATCCTTGACATCTTTTACAGATAAAGAGTCTTCTGGGGACCATGGTTGAGTGGCTTTACTATATCCTCCAAGCTTTCAACTCAGGGGATTTAGTTCGCTATCAAGAATTGTGTCGTGCGCACAATGCTGCATTGAGGGCTCAACCTGCCTTGGTTGAGAATGAGAAGAAGCTCTTGGAAAAAATTAATATTCTATGCTTAATGGAGATTATCTTCAGGTGTGTCTGTTTACTGAGTCCTCTAATGGATAAGTAATTTGCTGATATCTGTATGTGTAGTTAAAAATTAAACTACAATATGTTTCGATGCAGCCGCCCTTCCGAAGATCGAACTATCCCTTTAAAAGTTATTGCTGAGCGAACAAAACTGTCGATTGAGGATGTTGAGCATCTGCTCATGAAGAGCCTGTCTGTAAGTTAAAACATTCATCAGATTTATTTAGTCTTTTCTATTTTTGCACATGTTCCTTTTCCTTTGTCTACTTATATTTGTTTGTGACACCTTGGTGGGAAAGACTTGCACAATTCTTACATTTGTATAACCTTTATGCAAATCGCTACTACAGGTTCATCTGATTGAGGGCATAATTGATCAAGTTGAGGGAACAGTTCATGTCTCCTGGGTGCAGCCGAGAGTTTTAGGAATTCCGCAGATCAAATCCTTGCGTGACCGGTTGGATAACTGGGTGGGCAAAGTACACGCTGCTTGGTTGTCAATTGAGGCCGAAACACCTGATCTTGTTGCATCATGATTTTTTTCTCTAGTTCCTTTCTGCCCAGTGTAACAATTTCCTTATTTGAAAAAAAAAATAAAAAAAAAGGACATCACTTGATGAGCAATGAGGATAGAGACAAGTATTAATTCGTGTGGGCAGTAGAGCCAACTTTGCTTCCTTTAGAGAAATTGCTTGATCCTAAAATCGTTCTTCTGAAAGGAGCGGCTTTTGTACTGCTCACTTTTTGGCATTTGTTGGATCTACAATGGCGCAAGCATGCCTAAGGATGTAGTTAAATAGAAAACACGTTAAGGTGGTTCTTTAACGTTGTATTGGGAATTTTCATTAGAAACAATTAGATGTTCCCTTTTTTAAGTGGATGAAAGTGCATTTTCATTTCAGATAGATCTTTTACTCAATTATATCGTTTCGCTTGCAATGCACTGTCAAATACCGGTGATGACCAAAAGTGGATTCTTCAACTACTAAGATCTTGATTAATTTACCATTTACCTGTGAGATGAACCTTATGCAAAAATTACCAGCCTAGGGACGGTCAAACCATATGGTTAATATACTGGGTTTGACACGTAGTCCAGTTTCTGATATCCAGATTCTTGTATGAGAAACACAACCTTTAAAATCTCACCTGAATGCAATAATGCAATATAGGAGAAGCGGTGATGAATCATGCATGACAAAGAATCAAACCTGAAACGATATCATTAGATTGATATTTTGGAAAAAAAAAATTGCAACAGCTATCCTTATTTGATTGAGCAACAAGGCAAGGTACAAGGCTTCTACAACTTACTTTATGTTGGAAGAATACAACCAAATTTCCAATGCAAGTCATTCTTGCCTCACAAATGGTGAGGAGCTAACGTCTGTGCTGTAAAACGAATCTTCTGCTCCATAGTAGTTTTCGTCTTTCTCCTCTTCCCACTTGAGAACCTCCCTTATAAACTTAAATGCTTCATCAACTGTCAACCGGTGGTCCCTTGCCCTAGTTTGCCACACAAATAGTTTTTGTCCAGTAAGGGAAGCATAAAGATCCTTGAACTTCATTGCAACGTAAAAGTAAGCCTGCTGAGCCAGGGACTGATGGTTATGGAGAGGCCTCACTGGACTGAAATCATTGAACCATTCACAAATGCTTAAAGGCACCCGATTGACTTTGTCCTCAAAGAGATCATACTTGTTTAGTATCAACACAAAAGGGGTATCCTTAAAGCAAGGGTGCTTTATCATTGTTTCAAAGAGCTCCTTTGCCTGTATCATCTTATTTTGAAGTAGTGCTCCACTGCCACTACTCTCTGGTGCTATCGACATCTGATCATAATCACTAAGGGCCATGCAGAAGATTACTACACGCACGTCTTCAAACATTTCCACCCACTTGCATCCCTCATTCATCCCCTTTGCATTTACCCTTATAAGTTGATACCTGTAAAAGCAAAAATGGTAAATTAGCTTGATTCAAGATCAAGTCTCAAATGCCTTGGGGTTGAAATATGTAAGAGTGAATATTAGAAAAAGGAAAGTAATATGAGCATGCCGTAACCATTGGAGCCAACCAGAATCGTAATATTTTATCTGTGAATATATTGAACAATATAAATAAACAAAAGATTGTAAAGACTGATAGAGTACTGCAGCATCTGATACAATCGCTTGTGCTTACGGACCATTATAGGACACTTTTGAAAGCATTTTTCATCTCCTGCCCCCCCCCCCCCCCCCCAAACCACCTTCATAACACGTATAAGGAAGTTTGTTAATCTTTCATATATGACAATAACAGAATGACAGGAAAGAATTACTTTGTCAGGGGCTGGGTCGGAGCTTCCAAATTGTCTGTGTAGGTTTCAGACATTGGACTATGATCATCGAGCGAAAACTCTATGAAAGCCAAACCATTCCCTTGGGTTACCCCTTCAGCATAAAGAATGTCACGATCAGAAGGTTCATATTCATTGCTTGAAACCTCAACAGCCTGAAGGAAACAAAAGCATATCAAATAGCCAGTCAAAATATTGCTGTGAATTTGAGTTCATTTTTTTTTTTGGGGAGTCCTCTTCGAGTTAAATAACTTGAAATATCGAAAGGCCAAGTAAAATTTGGCTAATGATTAAGCCAACATATCAAACATAAAATGTAAAATACGGGGCAACAAAGTCAACAAAAAGTATGATGACATACCCTGCTTAAGAAGTACTCCGCAACATCTGGAAGAAAGTGAAGCTCATCTTTTCTTCTATATGTATGCTGTATAGCAGGATCTCTCCACAACTCCTCAACTAAAGGAGCATACTCACGTGTTGCCGCAGGGAAAAATGCATCCAAATCTCCAGTGGCTATAATGTCCAGAAGCCAGTCAGAAAAATGCTTTAGCCTAGGGTTGATACAATAGACACACTGGTTGGTTTCACCAGAGTCGACCTCTCCACCTGAAACAAGATTAGAGTTTTGTTTAGATATTGGAAGAGTTGCAATGATGTTAAGCAATTCTTTTTTCATTTTTGCCATCTGTGAGAGACCTTAGAAGCACCATCATGTAAAAAACTTCAATAAAACACAAGCAAATAACACATTAAGAAGCTCTTTTCTCCTCCCCTCTCAGCTAATGAAAAACAGAACAAGGCAATATGCACATCAAAGAGATATATAGGCCATAAATATGTCTATTTGGAAGTAACGATTTCTACTTTGAAAGCTCAAGATTATGTTAAACTCAGAAGTTCTGATATTGGCAAACATTACCAGCTTCAGTGTTCACATAATTGGAACCTAATTCTCGTATTTGCGACGTTGCTTCCTCCTCAAACCGTTCCCGGCCATCCAGTAATATGCTAAGATATCTGTACATATTTCTCTGGATCATCAACTTGAGATCCTGCAGTTCTTCTGCAGAAAACCCATTCCCATACAAAAATTTTGCCTGTTCAATAAAGCATAGTGAACATTAGAAAAAGGGCATCAACTGCAATGAAAGACAGTAACAACTAGTTCTCTATGCAGAGTTTGGTAGATGACATAGCTCTAGAAGATGCTAGTATCTGAATTTTATACATAATCATGATGGGGAATTTGCTCCCATCTTGATCATCCATACACCATTAAGACTAATTGTTCCTAAACCAAAGAAAGCATGAAGGAAAAGGAGATTCAGAACGGTTGAGTTATATGATCCTCCCGTGAACATTCAGCCCACGTCATTGAAAGCATTGTTTAACTATATGTGAAGCCACTAATTCAAAGTTTCCATAGACTGCACATCCTTAATTATTCCTCATCTACTAATGGATTGGAATGGTAGGCAGTCTTCATGTTCATGCAAGATATCCTTGCCAACTTCGATCTAGGCAATAAACTTCTGAAGTGATTTTACTTTCATTTTCAATGCATCTTAATGCATTTGGCATGGCAACACACAGCAGAATTGTTGGACTAAAAAAGTCTATTAGCAACAAAGAAACTGCCAAACCTGCTTGAAGATGGTGCTTGTCCCAGAGCCTTGAAGCCCGAGTAGAAGAAGCTTCTGGATTCTCTTCTGCTCTAGATAATTTGGAACAGCAGAATAATTGCTAGGCTCCTCTCGTGCTCCTTGAGGTTGACCAAGGGGCACGGGCAAAGAGAATAAGGTACAGACAAAACGAGTTGATTTCTGTCTAGCAAATATCAAATCCATGTCACAACACATATAACACCCATGACAAAATCGAGGTTGTTGGAAGTTTACATACCTTCTCCCAGATGTTTCCTCTAATGTTATTTTGACCTTCTTCCTCATAACGACCGTCATCATAGACCCAAAAATGAGTGTCACGTGGACACTGCACATTTGCCAACTGAAAACATAAAAAAGGATGAATCAATGATTAGTTAATTTAATATGAAGATATGCATTTGATATAATAGTTATTCCCATTCACATTTTAATCAGATGCTGAGGCTAGACATATATTATGATGTCAAAATGAAAAGGCATAACACAGAAAAGTTAGGTCTTAAAGTGTTTCTTAAGAGGAATCTGCTACTTCCAAATGGTTATGATAAAGCACCAATAACAGAAATTATGTATTATTAATTTTTTGACATCCTGAATATTGATCTCTTGGTTGGGACTAGAGAAGGAAAAAAAACCCGTACCCGACGGGTTCCGAACCGACTTTTTAGGGTCGGTTTTTTCTTTTGAAAATCGGGTATTAGGTCGGGGTCGGGTCGGGTGGCATGAAAAAAAAGTCAGGATCGGGTTTTAGGCAAATCTGACTCTATCCGACCCAATATATATATAAATAAAATTTTTAATTATTTATTTAATTTTATAATTATTTATATATATTTATATATATATATAATTTTATATTTATATTAAAAATAATATTTTATTAATTTTGGGTCGGGTCGGGTTCGGCTATAAAAATAATTAAAAAAATATCGGGTCGGGTTCGGGTTTTGAATGTTTAAAGTCGGGTCAGGTTCGGGGCGAGCAAAAACCCGCCCCGCCCCGACCCATTGCCATCCCTAGTTGGGACAAGTAAAATGGAAAAATAACAAAAATTATGGAACAGAGAGAGTATGATACTGAAGCTCAAACAACTTTTTCTTGAAACCTTGACATGTTACATTCTAAGTACATGTTTATATAGCCTAACATAATACAGTGTATCATATCATAAAGGCTGGAAATCAACAGTACAACGCAACTGCCAAAAGTGTTTGGTACATAACCATAGTAACATGCACCGGGAAATTACAAAATGCATGTAATGGATGATTTGTCTTTTGCATGAGAGGCATTGAAAGCACACCAAAAAAGCACATGCCTATACCATGGATCAAATTCTAATGAAAGCAACAAGAAGCACCAATTATTTTATAAGTCATGTTTCTCAAACTACAGCTTGTTTCAAATTATGGGTGCCAGGACTAGGCAGTAACCACCAATCCATAAATGAACAAAAGTGCTTTGCTGAAAGCATGCTTAAAACACAATATGAGGACCTACAAGTGAGCTGCTGCTGCTCTTGAAGCAAAGAGTCAAAGACAATCTAACAAAGCATAGTAGCATACAGTAAAAAAAAAAAAAAGTAAGACTACCAAGAGTAAGCAGCTCCCTTGGAGTCCATATTTTACAGAAGCCCAAACAACTAATCCTATAACAGATGTCTCTAAGAAAGTATGAAATGGTAAGAAAACTTGGAATCAAAGAGAAAAGTATTCGATGATCAAGAACAATAAATAATAGATCCTGTGTTAGCTTTTATATATGTTACCTTTAGCACCCTCAATTCAAGTTTCGTAATTTCCCGGCCATTCATGTAGACTTCAGTATTGCCATTGCTTGCATCTGGATTAAGTTTCCCTGTGAAATTTA